CCACATCAATTTATAAATGACAAAAGTAAAAATAATAAGTACTCTAATAACTTATTTATGAGGCGTTACCCCGCTAATGATTTCTCCGCTCATTATTGTGACATTCTCATTATAGCAAAAAATAGTCATTGGGCAATTACACTAATCTCTCTCTACTTAACTCCTGGTAGTTTTGAAGGCTGACGCGGAGCCTTGAGTGTTACTGGGGTTGGGTGCATAGTCAAACACGGGCTTTAAGTTGTCTTCAAGTGACGGTGCGAGTATTTCGGAAAATCATTTGACTGCAGGTGGGAGCAGCAGCAGCGCCCTCACCCGCCCGCCTGCTGGTCCTCCCGCGCACTGGAGCTGGAGGCGTCCCGCGTCCTCTGTATCCCCTCAAGATTTTGTACGAAATTAATTTATATTTATTTTAATCAACACGGCATCCGCTGTTGATAGTTATTTGTATATATATAACTCAATATTAATTTAACTATCGGAAGGTTATTATGCATCTTGGTTATTCATTATTCATTTAATCCGAAATGTGACTCTACGAATCTAATATATTTGCATTTTGAATTCTTTCGTTTATGCATATCCACCTAATGTTATTGTGGGGATTAACATACATATATTTTTGGATATCTATGGGAATTTTTCACGCTAAGAATTAGCGCTATTAGAGTTAAACAATCTTTTAAGAAGCAGGTCGAGCTAGCCTTTATCAATACCAGTGATTAAAAGTCTTATGTTGTAATTGCACGGTTCCTTAGCTATACTGGATCTCATATAATAGTTGAGCAAATATAGTGGCTGCGTTAATAACGTTTAATTCATCCACAATATTTCCACTGTTTATTCTATGATATTGATCCTTTAGCGGTGTCTACACTTCACCCGGGTGGTGTCTGCACTTCACCCGGGTGGTGTCTGCACTTCACCCGGGAGGTGTCTGCACTTCACCCGGGTGGTGTCTGCACTTCACCCGGGTGGTGTCTGCACTTCACCCGGGTGGTGTCTGCACTTCACCCGGGAGGTGTCTGCACTTCACCCGGGTGGTGTCTGCACTTCACCCGGGCGGTGTCTGCACTTCACCTGGGCGGTGTCTGCACTTCACCCGGGCGGTGTCTGCACTTCACCTGGGCGGTGTCTGCACTTCACCCGGGCGGTGTCTGCACTTCACCTGGGCGGTGTCTGCACTGAACATCGGTAGACTTTACCTGGCGACATCTTAACACCTGGCATTAATAGAGTTGCGCCCTAGCTGCTGTGGGGTATGGACGTGTTTCCTGACCTCTTCGGCAGTTGGTGGGTGTTTGCCAGTTTGACCAGCTGGGGGCGTGTGCGTCTCTGCCCGCCTGGTAGTGCTGCCGTGGATTTCAAGATGGGAGTCCCACTTCCCCCTGTAGTGCGGGGCTCAGTCCGTGGGCCTCTTCTGACCAAGCTGGGTACCCTGAGGTGGCGCTCGTGTTGTGTGAAATGCTTCATGTTCCTGTGGTGGACGCTTATGGCGTCGAGTTGGTGACAGCACGTCGGGCAAGCATAATAAAGAAATTTAATTTAAATCAGCCTTCACGGACCGACTGCGTAAGGCCGAAGTCGCAAATTGGCGCTACATAGCCCCGGCACCGATCTACATTCCCCAGAACGTTCTCTCCACTAGCCTAGCGTTTATTAGGGTTGACTATGCTGTGTCAGCCGCTTACACTAAGTCATTTATTATACACCCCATACCCATCACGTGGACGGTAGTGGAAAGGGTTACAGAGGCACATAATGGGTTCAGGAACTAAACCCCAGAGTTCGTTTAGCTAAGCAAGTGACAGTCTTGTGACTGTCCACATACATGTAGGTATGGGGGTCCACTATCCTCTTGTAATATTCCATCGACGTGTCCTTATGTTTTCAGAATAATGGGTTATTATTTATATTATATATATATATATATATATATATATATATATATATATATATATATATATATATATATATATATGTCGTACCTAGTAGCCAGAACGCACTTCTCGGCCTTACTATGCAAGGCCCAATTTGCCTAATAAGCCAAGTTTTCCTGAATTAATATATTTTCTCTAATTTTTTTCTTATGAAATGATAAAGCTACCCATTTCATTATGTATGAGGTCAATTTTTTTTTATTGGAGTTAAAATTAACGTAGATATATGACAGAACCTAACCAACCCTACCTAACCTAACCTAACCTATCTTTATAGGTTAGGTTAGGTTAGGTAGCCGAAAAAGTTAGGTTAGGTTTGGTTAGGTAGGTTAGGTAGTCGAAAAACAATTAATTCATGAAAACTTGGCTTATTAGGCAAATTGAGCCTTGCATAGTAGGCTGAGAAGTGCGTTCTGGCTACTAGGTACGACACATATATATATATATATATATATATATATATATATATATATATATATATATATATATATATATATATATATATATGCGAACAAGCCTGAATGGTCCCCAGGACAATATGCAACTGAAAACTCACACCCCAGAAGTGACTCGAACCCATACTCCCAGATGCACAGAACTGGTATGTACAAGACGCCTTAATCCACTTGACCATCACGACCGGACATAATGAGGTGATAGCCGAGGCTATTTGAACCACCCCACCGCCGGCACTCGGATAGTAATCTTGGGCATAGCATTTTACCAAATCACCTCATTCTTTGGGGCACACGTGAGGAACACAAATGCGAACAAGCCTGAATGGTCCCCAGGACAATATGCAACTGAAAACTCACACCCCAGAAGTGACTCGAACCCATACTCCCAGATGCACAGAACTGGTATGTACAAGACGCCTTAATCCACTTGACCATCACGACCGGACATAATGAGGTGATAGCCGAGGCTATTTGAACCACCCCACCGCCGGCACTCGGATAGTAATCTTGGGCATAGCATTTTACCAAATCACCTCATTCTTTGGGGCACACGTGAGGAACACAAATGCGAACAAATGCGATCAGTTGCATATTGTCCTGGGGACCATTCAGGCTTGTTCGCATTTGTGTTCCTCACGTGTGCCCCAAAGAATGAGGTGATTTGGTAAAATGCTATGCCCAAGATTACTATCCGAGTGCCGGCGGTGGGGTGGTTCAAATAGCCTCGGCTATCACCTCATTATGTCCGGTCGTGATGGTCAAGTGGATTAAGGCGTCTTGTACATACCAGTTCTGTGCATCTGGGAGTATGGGTTCGAGTCACTTCTGGGGTGTGAGTTTTCAGTTGCATATTGTCCTGGGGACCATTCAGGCTTGTTCGCATTTGTGTTCCTCACGTGTGCCCCAAAGAATGAGGTGATTTGGTAAAATGCTATGCCCAAGATTACTATCCGAGTGCCGGCGGTGGGGTGGTTCAAATAGCCTCGGCTATCACCTCATTATGTCCGGTCGTGATGGTCAAGTGGATTAAGGCGTCTTGTACATACCAGTTCTGTGCATCTGGGAGTATGGGTTCGAGTCACTTCTGGGGTGTGAGTTTTCAGTTATATATATATATATATATATATATATATATATATATATATATATATATATATATATATATATATATATATATATATATATATATATATATATATATACACACACACACATACATACAGTGATTCAAGACGAGACCCACTACAGTCTGTATACAAGGCAGTTTACATCTATGGTGAGTCACGCAGTGGTCTTGCTCCACACCCACCCAACTGGGTGGCAGCTTTACAGTCATGTGCAGGCTGCACCTACAGTAAGCAAAATTTTGATATTTGTCTAAGATCCTTCGCAGTACATCATTATGAATGAAGTACTTGAACTTTTCTTTAACACCATTGATCTCTGAATTCCGCGACTTTTCGCATTCTATAATATAATGTCGCAAATTATGTAAATAGTTCTGCTGACAGAGTATACATTACACAAGTCTATATCAACAGTTGATGCAAACTCCTAGAGGTACTTGTAACCGAGCCTGAGCCTAGTAGTGATAACATCTAAAGGTCTGCTAGTCTTATTGACCTTATGAGCGGCTTTTGCGGGTGCTGTCGAGAACGCCAAAGACCATCACTATCGACTGTTAGGTTGTTCTGGTGGTTATCTCGATTTAGTGTACGAAAGCTAAGCTTTCAACGCCACTCTAACCCTGCCTGTCCTAGCTGCTTCTCAAGTGTTCTTTTACTCACAACGAGTTCCGCCTGCACCATCGGCGGACCCTCCGGGAAAATTGTCCACCACTTTCTTTTCACCGAAAGTATCATATCCGAATCCTCAGACACAGCCGACCACGACGAGGGTTGCACAACCTGCATGGGCCGCCTTTGTCCCTTCCGACTCCTGAACTCTGCTACCTCGTCTTACAGAGAGGGAGGAAGAGCACGAAAGTGCCATCTGTCGCCTCCCCCAACACAACGTGAGTCAGAGGAGCCGGCCAGACAACTCTCGCCTGGAAAGCATCACCATACTGTCGATGTCTCTCGTTCCCTACCTGGGCACCGACATATTTAACAATATACTTATTATACTGTTGACAGGCGTTTGATTAACCCTTGTCTAGTGGTTGAGATACTAAAATAAGCTCATTAAATGTTTCTATATAGTCAGTCTTTATCTGAACTGATGTATGATAATAGTTTTAGCTTACAGATTCAACATGAGCCTTAGTTGAGAGAGAGAGACACACATACAGACACAGACGGGGGAGGGGGAAGCAGGGTAACAAAACAAATATAAGCAACCTGCCCCGATGAGCTGAGAGTGCGCAACATTGGGAGAGTTGCTGGTCAAGGCCGCCGTGATTTTATCAACTGATCCGTCTGTTTATATATTATCTTATATTTCTATTCCTCGGTATACAATAGAAATATATATTGATCTAAATCAATTAAGGGTAGATCATGTACATCTCTTATTAAATGTTCAAATGCTATATTAAACCAACCTGTCCTCTTTATAACACGTCGCATTTTGACGTATACTTTACCCAAGACCAAAACCGACGTACACGACAATAGTAGCGGCTGCCGAAATGACAAACGTGTCCCGTTTGCTGGTCGTGGGTCCTCTGGTTGGTTAGGTTAGGGCCCTTTAGGACGACAGTTTCTTGACGTTGGGAACACCGGCGAGAACAGGCTTATTCAACTGTATGCTGTAATGCACTACAGTTCCCAGCGCCACAAGGGGGCTGACAGCTAAGTGGACAGCGCTCGGGATTCGTAGTCCTGATGTTCCGTGTTCAATTCCCGCTGGAGGCGGAAACAAATGGGCAGTTTCTTTCACCCTGATGTACCTGTTCACCAGCAGTAAGTAAGTACCTGGGAGTTTGACAGCTGCTACGGGCTGCTTCCTGGGGGGTGTGTAACAAAAAGGAGGCCTGGTCGAGGACCGGGCCGCGGGGACGCTCACTGCCCCAGTCACTGATAGGTAAGCACTGGACATTTAATGACCTTGAAGGCGAGCTGGTGTATTGCAAGGACCGGCGACGTCTGTACAAGGATGAATCTGGCTTCGTTTTACTCTAATTTTACCTCTATAGTATAGTCGGTGCTGCGGCAAGTCAGTGAAGGTGAACTCTCGTTATATCACACTAATGCTGTGTAGCAGTAAAGTAAAAATAAAAATAAGTAAAAGTAAGTTTACCAGGATCCTTGAGTATGGTAGTCTACACTGAATATGCGGTTGGATTAATGGCAGCAGTGCTGTGCAAGTAATATAATTACAGTATCGACAGGATGGACATGGCGTTCATAATAACTGAACAAAACTAAAAAAACTACAGAAACGATACAATGCCAGTTAAAAGTAGATAAATATATAGCGAAAAACACAATAAATCTGGCAACCCCTAATCTGAATTTATCGCATATTCGATAACAGTAGCTACTATCTCGCTACTCTTTTACATATATGTATGTATACTGTAATAATTATAACAGTGGGCCTTTACATTTAAAATATACAAATAAAAATTAGAATGTAAATATAAAATCAAAGCTAAATACAAATTGGGACTTTTGGATTTTTTAAGACGACACTTGGCAACTTCGACGACTGGGTGAAGGAAGATTTAAGACGTTAACTTGTGGCAGTTCTCCCGACCCGTCTCTCCACTACACTCCTTACGCCTACATTACATTACTATAACTGAGTTCTTAATAAACCTAATAAATTTATATACTTATTTATATACAAGAAGGTACACACTCTTGCAATGCCACTAACACGCAGTGTTTCAGGCAATAAACCCCCCACATTGTTTGAGTTGGGAAAATACCATTTGCCAAACAGATACTGTTATTAACAAGATTTCCCTATTTTGCACCCGCAAGATAACGTAAGATTTTAAAGGTTGACGAATGTTCATCTTCTTGTTTGATAAGCTGTTCACTTGAGACAGTTAAGCAAGTCCCAGCTGTGTCTGGGTACAAGTGCAGGATAAACAACCCAGCGGTTTTCTTCCTATTGGGGAGTGTTGTAGATGCTGTTATGGCGGTACGACCACTCGCAGGATGAGTGGCGCTGCCCAATAAACTCGCCCCTCGGGGCAAAATGAAACAAAATATCTAAAGTATTTTTTCCTTTACACTTGTGGAGGGAGGATTGGGAAAGGGGGGAGGGGAGGGGACGGGGGTTTGGTGTGTGGAGTGTGCGCGCGTGTGTACTTACTTACCTGTTCCTGTCCTCGTCGAGGGCACTAGTGTTAGTGGCCCTCGAGTAGAACTCGAGAAAATTACCTATCAGTGTCTACAGGGGATTGAGGTGTAGCTCCTTACAACTTCCCTACCTTGTACCTGTTGAGTTTCAGTTTTACTATTGTCAAATTCTTTGTCGAACTGGCCTTAAAGTTATGGATGGAAATGGCTTCCACATACGTACATGCATGCACGTGTGGTGACTAATAGCCACAACCACACCACTTGGCCTAGTATGCAAGGTCCAATTTGCCCAACAGGCTGAACGATTTTTGTATTTTCAAATATTACTTTCCAGATTACTTCTTTTCTAACATTAATAATCTACTTTATTAGGAAGATGAATTTCTGACATTGGATAGGTTAGACAATTATAAATCCAATACTTTATGGGCATTTGCTGACAGAGTGGCTACAGTACCGGACTGCTGGGGCATAGAGGCCCTGGCTGATCAGGTTTGAATCCTTCAGGGGTCAAGAGTTTTTGGATTAAAAATGCAAACAGAGTGGTAGAAGGTTGGAACAAGTTAAGAAGGTGGTGAAGGCCAAAACCGTCAGTAGTTTCAAAACATTATACGCCAGTACTGGGAAGACGGAACACCACGAACGTAGCTCTCATCCTGTAACTACACTTAGGTAATTACACACACACTTTAAGCAGATGGAATATAATTAAAAATTGTAATGAAGCTCATCTTTATTTTAAAAATCATATACTGTACATCCTAACAAAATAAAATAAAAAGTTGTAATCATCTGCAAATGTTCACATACACAGTACAGTATAAAAATTACAACAGCATCCACTGGTTTGTTTCAAAAAGAGGTGGAGGAATTCAAGAGAATATACATTCTCTGCATAATTAAGTATTTAATGCAATACAGTACAGTATATCTATATCCAAGTGAACCAACACTGGTCAAGGTGGAAACTACTGCCTCTCACTTTAAAATCTTTCACAACAAACAATGCTTACAGCATCCTCTACATCATGTAATAAAACATTTTAATGCACCTGAAGAGAATTTAGCTATTTCCTTATCCTACGTTTTCTTAAGTCAGATATGAGTAAACTACACGAAGGTGTACTAAAGTACATTTATGTACACTATAAACATAAGAGCCTAAAGTAAATCATTATGCACCTGCCCATTCTACTGGACTGTATGAGCTTTAATTCAGAATTATAAATCTAGGTAAACAGAGTAATAGAATTACAGTAATATTAAAAAGTAATTTACAGTTACATGACCCCAATCCTCCTGGTCCAGAAAACTTTATACTCTGTATAAATAAACAAAAGCACACTCCAAATCTTCATGAAAATCCTACTATTCAACCACAATGTTTTCAGAGGATACCAGAAACTGTCAAACATATGTACAATACACTACTGTACAATACATATTAGGCTGATGCATTTTCGACTCAATTACCTTGGTAAATGGTTCAATAAACCTCTTACCAAGAGTTAATGAGCAAGATTACATATATCCCTGACCCTACAGGCAACCTGTCAAACTAATATATAAAATTCTATTTATCATATCCTCCAATAAATATAATTATTGCCATTCAGCTACCCTAACCTCCACCCTCCCCAAGTACACTGTCCCACTAATATGTAAAAATAACTCCCTTCCAGATATAATTATAGTACTGTACTTCAGGTCCCTCCATTTCCCCACCAAATGCAGGTATTTGCCATCACGGCCATTCAGAACTGTGAACTTATATTTATTTATTTAATATATATCCAATAATTCAGGGGATCCTGTGATATCAAGTAAAATATAAATATTCATTACCAGAATTGTTTAAAAAATACAAAAAAATTCATATATTTAAGCATAACTTTCAGTAATTTGCCCAATAACTTACCTACCCAGGAGACTTCACCACACCTGCAGGTATTTCATGTGCTGTCTCTCACAATACATGTCAATAATGAACTACTGAAAGGGGTCTGCATAAGGAAAGCCAATAATATTCCTCCGGGCTAGTATTGAGAAGTTAACACCCAGACAAGCAAAATGTATAATCTATCCCTTATATCCAATTATTAGAGTAAAGCATGTGGAAAATATTCTATGTATCACAGCCTTGTTAGGTTTAACCCCATTAGTAGAAGAGGTCAACAAAATAGCACATGTTTCAAACAACTGGATTAGTAGGAGATGCAGCATCACACAAACAATAACAAATTTAGAAGACATCAGCTGTATTTAATCAAGAATATAACAGCCTTTCAGAGCATTAAGTTCTGACAACCACACACATCACACAGATCCCTAAACTTGTTTTAGTGTGAGTACTGTATTTCAACATACAGTACAATGTAACTTTAATGCAGGTCAATTTTACTAATTAAGATTGTAAAAACACAAAGCTAATGGTCAGCATCTCTTTAATAATGCAACCAACAGCTCCCACAAGCATCATTCTTGCCAATCGATAACTTTGAAAACTTGCCTTAATGAGATTACAATTTGTTTAATTATACAATTTTGCAGCAACAAAACAATATTTCTTAATAAAAGATATTAGTTTACAAAAATATATTTCATTTACCCAAAGACAAATATATTTCAAACTTAACTGTTGTCTATTCTTATCTATCAATCACCTACGGTTCACATGCTATATTTACCACAACAAAAACGTTCTCAAAAAATCTAAGAAAACACAAAAGTATTAATTTTCCTTCTTTACCTATCAACTTCTCTCTTCTAAGCTTCACTATTAAATCATGTTCAAGATATACTATAAAACCTCCCTGTATACACTTACTAAGTCAAAAGGGGCCTCGAGTTATTCATCATACAATGATCTAACATATATTCATAGCAGAACAATTTATCAAGACATTTTACCCGTTTATTTGTGTACTCGCAAGCTTTACATGATTCGTCTCAAAACAAAATGAAGTGGAAGATGCTCATTAATCATATTTTTTAATGAAGGTTTCCCACTGTCTCACTGTCTACTTCTGATTCACTTGAGATGGCTCTGGTCTCTTCTTCAATCTTGGCATGGTGTCTAAAATAAATACATAATCAAATTAATAATTTTCAGAGTGAAAGTATACAATATTCCTCTTCTGTACTTGGAGATTATATGTTGATACAAATAATTACTAAAGATTACCTTGATTACAACCTTACCATTAGACCAATCTCACAAAAAATGGTCAGTAAATTACAACATTGTATCCCTAGGGAAAATATGAGTATGATCCCAGTATAATATATATATACACACACATATAAAGAAGGGAAGGGAACTATGAGGAGAAAGCTCCAAGCCATTACGACTACATATCACTTGGAAGGGGTCAGGATAAGGATTTGGCATAAGACGGGGAAAGGAATGGTGCCCCAGTAACTTGGATGGTCGGGAATTGAACACTGACCTGCATGACACGAGACCGTCGCTCTACCGTCCAGCCCAAGTGGCTGGGGCACCATTGTTTATCTAGCAGTAAATAGGTATCTGGGAGTTAGACAGCTGCTATGGGCAGCTTCCTGGGGGGTGGGCGTGTAACAAAAAGGAGACCTGGTCGAGGACCGAGCCGTGGGGGTTATCTTGAGGTTATCTCGAGATGATTTCGGGGCTTAGCGTCCCTGCGGCCCGGTCCTTGACCAAGCCTCCTTTTTGTTACACACCCCCAGGAACAAAACAGGCAGTCAGGGGCATCAGGGTGAAAGAAACGTTTAGCCCATTTATCTCTGCCTCCACCAGGGATCATACCCGGAACCTCAGGACTACGAATCCAAAGCACTGTCCACTCAGCTGTCAGGCGCGGGTCGCTAAGCCCCGAAATCATCTAAAGATAACCTTATTTGAATACTGTAGTAAGTTTCCACCTGTGTCCCATTGTTTGTGTTTTGCCCATGTTAAATAATTTATCTTTGTCCACCCTGTCAATTCCTTAGAATTTTGTAGGTGGTGATCATGTCTCTCCCCAACTCTTGTCTCTTCCAGGGACATTAGGAAAAATTCCTGTAGCCTTTCCTCATAACTCATACCTTTCAGCTCTGGGACAAGTCTGGTGGCATACCTCTAAATCCTCTCTAACTTTGTTGTGTGTTTAACTAGGTATGAACTCCAGGCTGAAACGTCATACTCCAGGATTGGTCTGACATAGGTGGTATACAAGGTGCTGAATGATTCCTTACACAGGTTTCTGAAGGTAGGTCTTATGTTGATCAATTTAGCAAATGCCACTGATGATATCCTTTTGATGTGGGCTTTTGGGAACAGATTCAGTGTGATATCAACCCCCATGCATTGTTCCAGATCCTGGGGGGTGGGGATTTGAGTAATTTCACAAACTGTGTAAACTAAAGTGAAACAATGAGCACATAAGCCATAAGCCAATATGCCAGTCCTCTCTCTAAAGCGGAGTCGGCAAATTGTAGCCCAGCAAGTCTACTGACCATATGGAACCTTACATTGGTTACGTATGTGCGTATGTTGCACCCGGGTGCTTCCCAATGTGCATGAAGCAAAGATGTCGGATTTCTTTTTGTACACAGGCAGTGGCACCTTTGATGATAACTGCACTCAATGCTTAAGCTAGTGTAAACACCTGTGGATATCATCTAAGCCTTAAAATAAAAAGCATATTAACCAACTTACCTAATTATTCTGCCAGCGGCTTGAGGGGGAGAAAACAAGAAGTTCACGGCTTCACTTGTAAGGTACTCTAATGCTGCAAGAAAATGGCAATGAATTAACAAATTTATTATATTCATACAATTTCTTCAAAAATTCTATTTAGTGTTGTTTTATTTGTAATGCATGAAATAGCATAGCACTTTCCTTAGAAACAACTGTCAACATTTTAAAAGCATTCTTTTACATATTTAACCTTTCAATGCTCATTTTCCCAACACCTGTACAAATAAAAATTCTTCACTTGAACAAGTCTTTTAACACATTGCAGAAATACTGGTATATAATGTATGAGCCAGAACCACTGTAAATCAGAAATCCTCTTGGCGTTAGCTAAATGTTATAATTAAAAACCACTAGAGCAGCCACAATACTATATAACTCACATCTACTATTTATCTATAATAATTATTATGGGTATAAAGAACCTTATCACAGCCTTCAGTATCCTAATGTATAACTTAAATTAATAAATTTCAAAACTAGGTAAAATGCATAACTTCAAATGTGAATTTGTTCAATATACGGCACTTGATAATACATCAGAGATGAGCTATGATAAATTGGTTAGCAGCAAGCTACATAGCAGTAAAAATGTAAAGGCCACAATTTGCTGAAGATACTATAATGATAGAAATCAGTAAACTTTTTTTTTTTTTTTTTTTTATTAAACGTTCTCTCTCTCTCCCTTGTTATATTTTGCAAATACAGTAGTGAATTTTGGCTAGCATACCTCGTACTCTCCTTGTGGTAGACACACACTTTGGCTTTGCAAACTGAAATTGAGGTGACGCAGGTGCCTGCAAGCTTTCATCTTTTTCTTCTTTGTCTGTTTTTGTCATTTCTTTGTCTTTACGATCTCTATGGTCTTCCACCATTCCCTCATCTAAACCAACTGCACTTTCATTTTCTGTTTCCGTAAATACATTATCTTTCGTTTCCTCTTCCACATCTTTTGTTTCCTCTTCCACATCTTTTCCTCCCTCTTCTGCATCTTTTTCCTCCATTTCCGGTTTAATTTTCGATTCAATTGTTAATACTGTTGTGTTAGCAGACTTGCGGACATTTTTTCGGGTTCTCTTGGTTGAGGTCTTTTCAAATTCCGCAAAAAATTCTTCTGCAAAATAAAAACAATGTAATATAAATTTGCTAATATTTGTCTATATGTAGATTTCTGCAACATACAATAACCAAAAAAATTAATGTATAACTGGGTTATTGATGTTTATAAAGCCTTTGGCATTACTTACCATAAAAAGCTAATATTTCAACACCATGGAATGTGGGCATTCTTACCTCAACAGAAGTAAAATACTCATGCACACACAATGCTCTTATTGACAGGCAAATCCTAGTCTAGCTTCCTGCCAAGTGAACACAACCATACCAGAGTTGCTACACTATATATAATAATAGTTTGACAGTCCAGTACCTTTGTATATCTCCACCATTACCCATTTCCTCATTTTTATATGATGGGGAGGCATCACTCTAGATTAAGCAATAGAGCAACACATGGAAAGATTGAGTTACTTAAAAAATGAGAGCCCATCCATTAAGCGTATGTTACACATTACATAACTGCAGCCTCACTTCAACCAAGCATCTACAGCAAAAAAACATCTACAATCCAAAAACTTCATGTAACTTGGTTTAGTGCACTTCCACTAACGTGCCATTTAGCACCCAAACATTCATTCTTTTACACTATTTATTTAGACCTAGCTTTATTCTCTATTGGTTCCTTCCCTACATTGAAAATGTTTGAAGAAATCTAGGAAACAAACTTCCTTTTGCTTCCTCTTAATGTTTATAACAGTCTCCGTGGTGTAGTGGTAAGACACTCGCCTGGCGTTCCGCGAGCGCTATGTCATGGGTTCGTATCCTGGCCGGGGAGGATTTACTGGGCGCAATTCCTTAACTGTAGCCTCTGTTTAACGCAACAGTAAAATGTGTACTTGGATGAAAAAACGATTCTTCGCGGCAGGGGATCGTATTCCAGGGACCTGCCCGAAACGCTTCGCGTACTAGTGGCTGTACATGAATGTAACAACTCTTGTATATATCTCAAAAAAAAAAAAAAAAAAAAAAAAAAAAAAAAAAAAAAAAATGTTCACATTTTGTAACCACTGTAACTGTGTAACCTTGTATAATAAAGTGCATACACTATCTATATATTAATAGTAAAAATGGGTGATAGGAGAAGCAAATACTCACACGCTACTACACTCACACCGAGTCAAACGACAAGTTCTCTAAATGCTCTTTAGTTCCTTCTCCGAGGCTATAGGTCTCCATAATTGCACCAGAGGTCATTTACCTTTTATTATTGTTACTACAGTATATACAATATACTGAACAGCATATTTTTTACGGGGGTTTTCTGTGCCTACTACAAAAAATATGTATTAATAGAAACTTATTTTTATTTTACATTTTTTAAGACTTCTTAAGAGTATTATTTTGAATTCAACTAACCAGATAATCATCCACAACAGGTAAGAAATATAGAAAATTCTTGGACAACACATTGATATTATTATTTTATATCAATCATATCTAACATGTTGAAAATATACACAAATGTTATTAATATATTCAAATTTCTATTAGGCACAGCATTTAATACTTCTTCCTGATTAGCATCTTTCTATATCTTACAGCCTGAACATATCAGGGTGAGATATGTAGCCTGAAGCCTCAACATAGCCTGAACATTTAAATCTAACCTCCAACTTAAAAAAAAAGGGCTGTTAATAAAAGCTTTAAAACATACGACACATAATCTAAATATTTAAACTTACTGAGGAGTGCCTGCAAGTATCTCCCATGTTGAGTTTGGTACATTTTGTTTGGGCAGAGGCTATGTGATAATCTAAATAATTGCACTACTGTATAGAGTGTTTTAGTTAGCCTTGAGTATACTGTATCTATATACCAAACTCCTAGATTGCGTGTTCAAAATACACACACACACACTGCGCTACTCAGCAGTCTAATTCAGATAAACACTTTAATGTTGGACCGGTGTGAACTTTGCCAAAACATGTAAACTCGTCCAAGACAGCAGCCATCTGTAGTTTCATAACTACCAGTCTTTAGGAGAGGCCTCACCCATCAGTGGATAAATACAGGACAAATCATAAACACATTTCATGGTATGTAAAACAACAGCAGTTCAAAAGAAAAAAGAAAAGTAAAAAGCCCACCTTGTTCTTTGGAAATGCCTGTATGGATCTTGAGTGTGTGCAGGGAGCGTCTGGGAAGTAGGGTCTTTCTCTTTTCTGTCTGGCCTACTGACAGACGAGACAAGCTACTATGTCGCCCTCCCTTACCCCTGCCAGCAACCTCAAGTAAGTTCAATTCTAATTCTGGGCTCTCCTGTACCTCGGGGTGATTGGCTGAACAAAATTAAATAAATAAAAGTAATTTAAACAAAATGTAATTTTTTTTAAGTCATTCACCTTTTATCCGAACAACAGTTCTCAAAATACTACACTTAACCATTTAGATGTTCAAATAACATTTGGATATTTGCAGACAATGCAAACTCAGGTTCACATTAGCTTGATTTAATTTTTTGGCATCCAAGCATGTTATTTTCCAGGGAAATGTTACCTAAAAAGTAATTGTGTAGAGCAGGTATTTAAGAATATTTTTCTTGACAAAAATACCGAACATTCTATCAGTATACTGTATTGGATAACACCAGCGTTGAATGTAATGAAATGTCATTTTCTGGGTGAGCCCCTGGAGCTATTTGACTGATATGCAATATATCAGTCAAAGAAGCTACCAGGGACCACGAGCCAAAACCTGGCCCTCTCGGAAAGACAAGGAAGCAATGGCCTCTGGAAAACCCCCCTGTGGTTGGGGGTATTCCTTGTCTGCCATTGACCAGGGTTAGGCACCCAGAATGGTAGGCATAACAAAAACCCCAATTGGTAAGAAAATTGCAACCGAAAACTTAACAGAGGCAGAACTCGCCCAACTCTCAAGGAAACAAGCAAACAAACATAACGTCACACCACTGCTGCTGCTACTCCGCTTGTCAGCACAGGCCTCCCCTCCCCAGGAGGGGAAGCCCCTGAATGCGCCGGCTACTCACACACCCAAGTTTGGAGGCCGAGCATCAAAAAGCAAAACAAATCTGACAACTGGAGGGAAGGTGCCAGGGAGCCTTTGGGGCTCACCCAGAAAATGGCGTTTTACTACATTCAACGCTGGTTGTCTGAGGGAAGCCCCTTTGGCTCCCTGGAGGTACATAACTCAAGTAAAAGAGGGACATACCCGGGCGGCGGCCGCCACAGACTCCTCAACTCGAAGTCGAGACAACTGGCTGCAACCTGCAACCCAAAGCCATACACGAATGGCCAGGACCAAGAATGTTTACCAAATAATGGGAGGCCAGGACCCTGTTCGACCTCCAAAATCCCCGCGCCCGAATGTCAGCCCAAGACATGTTGCCAAAACATGGAAGCCAAAATAGCAAACTTACAAATGTCATGGGCACTAGGAGGGACTGCAGGCTGGCTAGATTTAATAACCCTGCGGACTACCTGGGAGACCCAAGCCCTGGAACAGGGAACGAAGGAAACCACTTCAACCCAAAGCCCGTCCCCGGCCACGGAGGCCGAGGTGCACAGATAACGGCGAAGATCCGCAACCGGACACAACACATGATGTACCCCCTACCCTGCCTGACCAATCAAGCATCAATGAAAAGTTCCGAATGAAGCTGGATGGTCAAATCCGAACGACCCGAATCTTTTTAAGTGACAACCAAACCCCCGCGAACTCCCACACTATGCAGCGAGCCTGACGGAAGGTTACCTTGAGATGATTTCGGAGCTTAATGTCCCCGCGGCGCAGTCCTCGACCAGGCCTCCTTTTTGTTACACATCCCCAGGAAGCAGCCCATAGAAGCTGTCTAACTCCCAGGTACCTATTTACTACTAGGTGAACAGAAGCTTTTTCGTGAAAAAACTGCCCATTTGTTTCCACCTCCACCGGGATCGAACCCGGTGGGGAACCAGGTTCTGGCTCATGGTCCCCGGTAGACTGAACTCCATTAACTAATGCCCTAGACTAATATATCGTATATCAATCCGATAGCTCCAGGGAGTCGAAGGGGTTTCCCTAAGAAAAACAGTGTGTTGATCAAGGCTTCTTCTATAAGTAGCCCAGTGAAGAAACTGTAGTGTGTAATTTTAAATATTAAGTTATTAAACATTTTGAGATACAAAAGAAAAAATGTTTAGAATAAGGTTAATATTCTTTAAAATAAGCCTTTTAATGTAAACAGTAAGTGATGAAATATTAGGCATTAGGAAAGATGATGATAAAGTAGAGAGAGAGGTGTTGATGTGGACAAATGAAGCACAATTGAAGCAATTGAAGCAACTGGTGCTACAATAATCAATCGTGAAAAACCAATAAGATTCCACAAGCAAATGAATTTCAGCAAGTAGCATATCTAATCTGAGTGGGAGCTTTAGTGGTTTAAGAAACAACAAAGCCTCAAACATTTTGATGCAAGTAAAGAAGCAGATAGCATCTTATATGCTGACTTTACTAGAAGTTTTAGGCAACTGCAATTCACCCAGTTAATCATATTAGTCTTTAATACAAACTATGAAATGCTTTAGTGGAGAACTGACATTAGATTTAATAGTAATTGTTTATACACAAACAGCAGGCTGGGGCAGATATAGAAGGAAAAGTGAGATATGATCACAACATCCAAAATAGTAGCAGGAATCAACAAAAAAGAATTCTTAAAAATGGCAACGTCAAGAACAAGAGGTTGTATATTCAGGCTAAGGAAATAAAGGTGCCAAAAAATATTAGAAAATTCTTTACAAACAATGGTAGAAACAAGTGAGGCAGTGGATGCCAAAATAATCAATATTATAAAAGCAATATATGACAAAGACACCACAACAGCAGCTCTCATCCTGTAAGAACATTTAGGTTATTCTTAGGTAATTACAAATTTGCACTTTATTCAGTAGGGGGTTGGTCCTAACTGGTTTGGATAAAATGTGAATGACTAGATAAATAAAAGTTGAAACAATTTAAATTAAGAAAATACCTCCTCATGCCTCTCTGGGGAGGGCCAGGTTCTGGTTCGTGGTCCCCAGTAGGCCTACAACTCCATCGATTGGGTGTTGCCACGATCTAATATATCACACATCAGACCGGTATAGTTCTGGGGGACCCGAAGGGGCTCTCCACATAAAAGTTGTATATTCAAGAGCATTATTGAATACAAACAAGTGAAATGATCAAATTTTGTCTACTGGTGAGGCAAAGATAGAGGGAAGCAGTCACTGGCCTCCCTCCTCCTCAACACTCCCAGCTTGCCATATGACATCAGTTGGTTGCCTAGTCGTGCAGCAAGGCAGCTACACCACTTATGTCCTCTAATTTTACTAAAACGGAAATGTATTTGAACTATTTATTACAATCTTCAAGATTATCATTGCTTGAGGTTGACTTCTTGTTAATAAAAACAAAAAAGGCAAATTACAGAACATATGAGATAATTAACAATAGCATCTCTCATTTGACTCGTGTCAATTTATGTACTGTAGTTTTTTAATTACTAACACTCATATTGAACTTATTCAAGTTTCTTATATATACATATATACATACATACATACATACATACATACATACATACATACACACACACACACACACACACGAACATGTTTGCTGATGATGCTAAGATAATAGGAAGGATAAGAAATTTAGATGACTGTCATGCCCTTCAAGAAGACCTGGACAAAATAAGTATATGGAGCACCACTTGGCAAATGGAATTTAATGTAAATAAATGTCATGTTATGGAATGTGGAATAGGAGAACATAGACCCCACACAACCTATATATTATGTGAGAAATCTTTAAAGAATTCTGATAAAGAAAGAGATCTAGGAGTGGTTCTAGATAGAAAACTATCACCTGAGGACCACATAAAGAATATTGTGCAAGGAGCCTATGCTATGCTTTCTAACTTCAGAATTGCATTTAAATACATGGATGGCGATATACTAAAGAAATTGTTCATGACTTTTGTTAGGCCAAAGCTAGAATATGCAGCTGTTATGTGGTGCCCATATCTTAAGAAGCACATCAACAAACTGGAAAAGGTGCAAAGACATGCTACTAAGTGGCTCCCAGAACTGAAGGGCAAGAGCTACGAGGAGAGGTTAGAAGCATTAAATATGCCAAAACTAGAAGACAGAAGAAAAAGAGGTGATATGATCACTACGTACAAAATAGTAACAGGAATTGATAAAATCGACAGGGAAGACTTCCTGAGACCTGGAACTTCAAGAACAAGAGGTCATAGATTTAAACTAGCTAAACACAGATGCCGAAGAAATATAAGAAAATTCACCTTCGCAAATAGAGTGGTAGACGGTTGGAACAAGTTAAGTGAGAAGGTGGTGGAGGCCAAGACCGTCAGTAGTTTCAAAGCGTTATATGACAAAGAGTGCTGGGAAGACGGGACACCACGAGCGTAGCTCTCATCCTGTAACTACACTTAGGTAATTACACTTAGGTAATTACACACGGGGCCTCGTAGCCTGGTGGATAGCGCGCAGGACTCGTAATTCTGTGGCGCGGGTTCGATTCCCGCGAGAGGCAGAAACAAATGGGCAAAGTTTCTTTCACCCTAAGTGCCCCTGTTACCTAGCAGTAAATAGGTACCTGGGAGTTAGTCAGCTGTCACGGGCTGCTTCCTGGGGTGTGTGGTGTGGGGAAAAAAAAAAAAAAAAAAAAAAAAAAAAAAAAGTAGCTAGTAAACAGTTGATTGACAGTTGAGAGGCGGGCCGAAAGAGCAAAGCTCAACCCCCGCAAAAACACAACTAGTAAACACACACACTTTTCTTTTTGAAACCATACTAGTGAAATTATTCTCAGCAAGCTTGCAGGGCAGGAGGAAGGGAAGGAGAGGCAAGGTAATATAAGGTAACCATCCTTCCTACCTCCACCTCTCATGGCACAGCATACCACAACGCTAATCATCTGATGCCAGGAGGCAGTCCCTCACCTCACGTTTGTCATATTTCATTCAAATGAAAAATTTATTCTATTTATTGCAATCTTCAGCATTATGATTCCTCCAGCATAACATTTTGATAATAACAAAAAAAGCAAATTAGTGCAGATGACTGACATCATCATTGCTGACCAAGCCAACCAATCAGCAGTGGTGTTTGAACATGTAGTGGCGGCTAAATAAAATTAACTTTTGGCCATTTTGTGTACATTTCTTAATATTAGTATTTGATGATAACAATTGTAAAAGATTAGTATTCATATTTCAGTTTAATTAAAAGATTTTAACCACTGTAGGATTGTTTACATTTTGATTAGGTGGTTCACGAGTGGTGATAACATGGCCGCTTCCCGAAGCTCAGCGTCAGCTATGGCTCAAGAGGGAAAACCCTCGCTTAATCGAACATGTTTTTTCTTTCCAATGAACAATCTGTTCAGAATTGGGTAGAACAGGGTCTGTTTAAGTGAGGATGCACTGTAATCCATTCTCCTACATAAAAGGCGTTGATGAGTAAAACAAAGTTATTGTTCAAAGATATTGAACAAAGTTACCATTTGTTCAATATTAATTATATTGTGCAGATTTCCTGACGAGTCTGCATCTGCATTATCTCTAAGTAACAAAATAATTACCTTCATCATCTGCCTCATTCTCAGAATCCATGCCACCCTCTAAAAACATCTCATCTTCATTACTGGAGTCTTTAATGAGTAATATGGATGTTGATGCTGCTCGGGACTTTCTGGATGTACGAGCATGAACCTTTTCTTCTGAGTCAGGTGACAAGAGTGAAGCAGTTTTGTCTAAAATTTAGAAATCGAAAAATAAATATTAATTACACATTTCCATTGTATTAAAATAAAAATTCACCTTGCCAATACAGTATATGGCAAAATTGGTCTAATGTTGCAATGGCTATGTCTAAGAATTTATGGTCCTTGGTTAAGACACACTGAAGCTAGATACAGTAGGTATATTAAAATAAGTTGTAATGCCTTAAATGTTTAGCTTTTGTTGTACCCCCTTTTCATCAATTAAAACTTTTTGTCATGTTGATTATTTAAATAAAAACAAAGATATCAAGATGAAGCGGCACATGTTAGAGGTTATTGCAATAAAGCAATACACACTTACATTTGAATTTATGGATAATTTGTCAAGTACTCTACAGTACATATGCAGCCAGTCCTCCAAAAATGGGGTGGTAAATGTAAGAAGACAAATAAGTGCAATTATGTACTATTCATAGCAGTTAGGAATTGTACTTATTTTCACTTGGTATTAAATCGTACTGTCAAATATATTGTGAATATTTGAGTTTCCCTGAAAAACTGAATAGAAAACCACAACCTCACCTAACCATCTTAGTTTTTGAAGATAATAATTTTATTGCTTCTTAATTACAATTAGTACTTAACCTATAGCTATATTGATATTACAGTTTTATAAAACTAATAAAACAAAACTAAAATATATCAATAAATTGTAAAGAAACTCAGGATATTTTAAAATTTTGTATAAAATCTACATTGTTTAATAAACCTGAAAAATAAATTCCTAATATTTAAAACTTGTATATGACAAGTTGATTTTGAAAACTTCATCCTAAAATTCTGAGTGTCTTAACAGAAAACGGGGAGAATTAAATCGGGGGAGAGAGTTGGGTAAATGTAACAGCCCCATAAGTTTAATTATGCACTGTTTATGACAGTAAGAAAGTGTACTTATTACACTTAGTATTAAATCGTACTGTCAATTTGGAGGATGGGTTGACATATGATAACATTGGATACCAAATAAGCTACTCACATGAATCAGAATGAAGTTTCAGAGATTTGATGCCAGTGGACTTTCGAGGTGGTTTGCTCAACTGTTCTTGCAGATGTAATTGGGCAGTTGTGGACATTGTGGATGACAAAGTAAGCCTTAGACTTTTCCTACTTCTAGTGGACAGCTCCTCAATGACTGGATTTACAAGCTTGTGACCTTTATCTGACTGTCGCCTCGACACTCGTCTTTTGAGAAACCTGTCATCTTCTTCGCTGCTTTCAGAGTCTGTCATGATAAGTACATTATGCAGTGGTAATTCAAAACTTACCACCACCAAAGTGATGGTACATTCAATAGTGTAACATTACACAAATTTTATAGCTATAAAGATTATGAACACACCACACACCTTCCAGTTTCCTCATTTTTCAACAGCAGCATTTTAACTGTAAATTTTAATCTATGTACCCAATGCACCTACAAAATCAGTCTTGTCCAGACAACACAAAATTGATGAGAAGGGTAAGTATAAAAGTTTGTGGGGTACAGTGGTACACTAGCCCTGCACCTCCTGAGCTATTTTGTCTGCTAGAGCCTGTAGAGAGTTGCTGAGCACCTATCCTTAACTCTTCTCTCACATCAGTAATTGGGACCTGGTTGTGACCTGAATGGTAGGTCATGTTTCAGGAAAACCAGTAGAGTAAGGCTTAACATGAGCTATGTGAAGAAAAGCTCTAAGGTTACTAATAGAAGCCACAAGTTATCTACTCTTTACCCAACTGTGTAGGATATAAAACCTTGACAGGTTGCAAATAATAGGAATGGCTTTTATAAACTAAAATTGAAGAATGCTTCAAAATATTATGCAAATCAAACTAGACTAGCACATGAAAGTGTGCTCCAATAAGAACCCCCTACTGGTAAAGCACATTAAAACTGAAAAAATCAGGGAATGCCTGAGATAATTCAAGCATTGAATGTAATGAAACTTTTTTTATGAACCCTTAGTATCTCTCCGTGCTAGATGTTGGTACAGCATTGATTAAAGATGCACTAGGCCTTCAAAATCCACCCTTGTCTTCTGAAAGTCAGGAGCAAAATCTACCTCTCTCTGAACCTAGACAAGCTTGGGAATCAAACAATCCAAAACAGAGAAAAATGTAACGAGGAAATCATAAAATAACAAAACAAGCAACCAACTGACAAAAATCTGATACGTTGAGGAAGCAAGACAAATTATTACCTCTGGGGGTAAACATCCTAATCTTAATGTCACTGACTGCCATCAGGTGGCTGTCCCGGTCAGACAAAGCTCTAGGCCGCCTGCACCCACAACTTACCAGATGTTCGAACTGAACACCGCAGAAAAGAAGGTAACATGGCAAGAATGGGAAGCCAATGAGGGTCAACAAGAAAAGGGCATTTCATTATGATCTATGCGTGGTTTTTGGGCATAAATACCAAGTAGAGCTTTTCAATACAATATTTAAAAAAAAGTTAAACTAATACATTTGATCAAACCTAACCTAACCTAATAAAGTCAGTAATTTAGTTTCATTAATTGGAATAAACCAATTTGGAAAGAAATATTTTAGAATAATGATAATAAAGAAGTGTAAAATGTGAAAACGAGGCTTGTAACCCGGCATCAGCAGTGCCAAACTCCTTAGCACATCACATGGGCAAGGCCAAAAAAAAACCTGAGGAAGGACCAACACCCCGAAGAACCTCCCAAAGAGATCCCCAAAGGGACCCCTAGCACAAACATGAGTAGCCAAAACAGCAAGAAACCCCCTAGCAACGCTGTGAAGACAGGCTATTGGATGATTGAAACCAAAACTCCCAGATGTCCACCTGAAAACCAACAAGCCACCCAAGTTTCAGGCACTTATTGGTATACAGTAAATCAAAACTATTTTCCTAAAAATCTATGCTTTGTTAATTGGAATTACAGTAAAACATGTTCCTTTGTGGAATAAAGGATTGGATGCTGACCTTTTATGCTTGTGAGAGTAGTAGTCCCACTGGATCTGGTGGACATTCTATCTGGAGAGCTCTACAAGGAGAGAATTTTGTTTTTATTTTTTTAAATACAGTTGTGTGATTTATACGTTCAATTCTAAATTCCTACCTAAAAGTTACACATATTCAAAATAATTTTTGTAATAAAAGTGATGTTAAGAGTATTTATTTTTATTAATAAACATTTAATCCCTTTAAGGTATTTTTTCAATACAACCAAATGTGGTTTGCATAAGTATGTGACTGCTTTCACATACCTAAAACTAAAATGCAAATACAGTACATTCATTGGTGTCAAGGGATCAATCAGGTATAAACAGCTTATCATCTGTCATAACTCACCTGAGAAGCATCTGAAACAGATGCACGAAAACGGGTCATCGGTGATGATACTTTTATTTCTTCTGCTTTCAAATGCTCTTCCTCCGAGCGTGATTGTCTACGAGTTCTTCTGGTGGTACTTCTAGTTATATCAGTCTGTTTATGTGTCTGTTCACTCTCTGAGGATATTATACTTTCTGACTTATCCTCAACACTACTAAGATTATCCTTACTATAGCTATCTTCAGAGTAATTTTCAGCAAGAGACCGCCGTCTCTTTCGGGGAGTCTTCTTTTCTGGAATATCTACTGTAGTATCACCGATAATAGACTTTCGTCTTGTTCGAGAAGGGCTTTTGCTTCTTGTCACAGAATGGTGGTCGGTTGAGATATTTTTCATTGATTGGGATTCATCAGCTGGTGCATGAGTTGAGTTTTCTACATCCTCTGCAATGGGTTCCAAGCTTTCTGCAGCTGCACTTAGCCTTGTTGACATTCTTGTTCTTGTAGGTGTAGTTTTAACTGGAGTGGATTTTAATGGTGTACCTTTAATTGGAGTTTTGGTTTTGAGGTGAAGGGAAAGTTCCGCTTCTACTTCTAAATCAATGGGCATTGTAGATTTTCCATTTTCTTCTACAATAGTTTCCAGTGTTTCCTCTGAAATACTTTTTCGGCCAGATCGTCGTCTTGTTCTGCTTGGAGTGACCAAGACTTCAGTTTCTGCAGCTCCCTGTGCTTTATGTCTTTTAGGCGATGTTGGTGTTACAATTGGAACAGGCAATGTGTGTTGAGTAGGTGGGATTTCATGAGCCATATCATCAGCCCGAGAAGACAAATCTAATTTCTGGGAGATTTTTTGCAATTCTTCTGTATCTGCCAATTCTCTTATAGACCTCCTTGAGGGAGTGACTAATACTGATCTTTTAGTTGATTTTGATTTTGTAAGTGGTGTTGGCACCTGGAGAATTTTTCTTCCAGATCTTGTTATTCTTTCAATAACTTCATTTGCTTCAGATGATGTTCTAACTGGTGTTTTAACTTCAACATTACTGACTGCTTTGCTTGACCTCTTTGGAGTACCTGGCGTGGAAGGCGAAGTTGTACTGAGTCTACGACTTCGTCTCAAAGGGGTAGCCTTTAAGGGGTCTGAAGTTTTATCTGTCATATCTCTTGTACTTTTACTTTGCGAGTTTTCCTCGGGAGTATGACTTGGTTTTCTAGGTGATGTTACTATAGTATGTTTCTCTAAAGATTTGTCAGGAGTAGCTTGAGGAGTAATTTCTGCCCTCTTGTGTGGTGAAACTTCCATGAGAATTTTATCTCCAGCTTTGGGTTCAGTCATCCTTTCTGGCGAGACTGGTAGGATACTTCTCTCAACAGGTTTGGTAACAAGCCCAATATTAGCCGAAGCGTCTTCAGTATCATTCTGCCTTAAATGCATTTTTTGCAATGTCAAATTTGATTCTTTGCTAGCAATGGTAGGTGGGTCTCCAGAACCACTCTCTTTCAAGCTTGTCTCTGGTGAGACTTTAAGAAGCACCTCATTGTGACTTTCTTTCAAGTTTTTCTTTGGGGAGACTCTTAGACCTACTTCAGGAGAACTAAATGACTTATCTGTAGTGTCACTTTGTCTTGGGCTTCTTCTTGGTGAACTTCTAAGGTTTATTTCCTCAGTAACATTGGAAGGGGATTCTGTATCATTACTTTGGGATATATTTAAGCCAACTTCCCCAGCAATTTTGCTAACAGTGCTTGCAGCATCATGCATAGAGCCTCTTTTTGATAATATGGGTTGTGAAGTTTCCTCTGCAAATTCAGAACCATTTCTGTCCAGGGTAATCCTGATATTGTTTTCTGGTTTACTTACTACCGGCTCTTTCTGTTGCATCGCCGTTTCCCTTTGGGCAGAAAATGTTTCTTTTTTCACGCTCTTGTGCAAAGACTGTGCAAGTAATTGGGAGTCACATTCAGCATCAGAGCCCAGATGTATGCTTCTATTATTACTTTTAATTTCTATATCCTCGCTATCTGCCTTAAGCATGCTTCCTCGTTCATCAGTTTCTGATACCTGCATTTTCTCATCCTCTTTTATAAGCAATGGCTCCTTTTCACCTGTAGTTTCAAGTCCAAGTGCCTTGGGTTTCTCATTTTCTAGATGTTGCGTGACCTCACTGCTACTTTTAACTGCCAAGGATAACTTAGCTCCTCCAATGGACTCGGTTGTCTTTTGAGAGCTCTCTCCAAATTTTGAGATTTGGGAATCTTCCTCTAAACAAACTCTACCATTTACTTTGGAAGAACCATTGTCTTCGGGGACAGCATTTGTTCTTTCTTCATGTACAGAACTTGAAGAAACCTCTCCCAAATTACATGTGATTTCAAAACTAGAGGTATCATCACCTTGTGCCTCAATTAAACAAACTGTTTTTGTTTCCACACTATCTTCCTCATTCTCAACTGCAACATCTGTCTGTCTATCTGTTTCTTTAGAACTGTTAACCTTGACTTCTTTTCCTGGGACATTTATTTCTATTTTTTTTTCATTAACATTATCCTCCTCACATACTTCAATGCCTTGATAATTTGCCTTTAATATATTAACCTTATCCTGAGATGTTTCACTGCCTTGATGGTCTTCAATTTGATCTGCATGTCTTCCATTATTGTAATTTTCCCCTTCATCTTCGCTTTCTGAATCAGAAAAACGCAAGGGACTAATATGCTCCGACGTATCAAGCGAAATACTTTCGCTTTCTTCGGACACAGGTTCCTGAAGTGATGCCTCTCTATCACAATGGTCTCCTATCTGATCTGAATGTCTTTCATTATATTTTTCCTCATCATCTTCACTTTCAGAATCAGATAAATGCAGGGGACTAATGTGCTCTGATGTATTAAGAGATAAGCGTTTATCTTTTTCAGACATAGCTTCATCAATCATTTCCTCTTCCTCTTCAGTAATTTGACAATCTGTGTTCATAACTTCATCATCAAGAACAGTGCTTTCTGATACACCTTTCTTTTCAGTAGCATGACAGCAAGTATTCATATTAAGTGCAGCTGCAGAGGATTTTGCTACATCAATATCTGGTTTCTCTTTTACACTTTCTTCTTCCATGAGATTATTACCATTATTTTGTTCTTTACTTGAAATTAATTGTTTTGTGATTAATATTTGTGAATGCACAGACAACTCTGTTTCCTCTTTCATTGAAGTGTCTATGATTAATTTTTCTTTGGTAGAGTTATCACGCTCTGTAGTCTCCCCTTTTTCCTCAGGTTCACTCTCAGAATCTGAAAATTCAAGAGAAGGAATGACTTCTGACTCATTTAAAGACGAGCTTGGCTTATTTTCAGTATTCTCTTCTGCTTCCTGGTCAACAACACTTTTAAATGAATCATCATGATGCTCTGTTTTCTCAAAATCATCCACCTTTCCTAAGATGAATATTTCCTCCCTTCTAATAATAGGTGAATGTTGCACCTTGTAGATTTTCCCATCAGGTCTTCTTTCAGCAACTTCTTTAAACAGATCTCCATCTTCCACCTCTAACTTTTCAACTCCCTCCTCATGCACATTAATCATTTCAGAGTCAACTTTCTCAGAAACTTTCTGAGGTTTAACAGTATTGTCCTTTTCATTTTCAGCATAATTCTCATTTTCACACTGCAACTCTTCTCTTACATTTGCTTGCTTCCCTACAAACACATTATCCTCCTCACTGTCTCCTACTTCCCTTGACCTTTCTGCTACTCCATCTCTGCTATCTTCCAAGTCATTCATCATTTCAGATTCTGCTTCACTTTCTTCGGCTTCTTTTGACCTTTCTGCTCCTTCTAACTCGTCTTCACTACCCAAGTCTTCACTAACAATTTTTGCATCATCCACAAACACCTCTGCTCCTGGAGGTTCTTCCTCAGTGAAGCTGTAGAACACTTCACCAGCAGTAGTGTTTTTATTTGGATATTCAAAGGAGTACTCTGGGTCTTTCTTGGCATCCATTTCATCTACACATTCACTGACATTGCTGAAAGTAGAACAGTCAAGTAAATTTTATGTCTACAAATAAGGAAATTTTGTCGTTCAGTCAATATAAGGCCAAGAGAACAAAAATCCTGGAGCTTTGTATTTTAAGACATTCATTACATTAAAAACTAGAACAAAAATCCTGACGATTTGTATTTTAAGATATTCATTACATTAAAAACTAGCCATCTTTGAAAATCACAAACAGCTTGATGTATTTACAGGCGTACACAAAGTCAACAAAACACACATTCCTATATGCAGGCAATGAGTCACAATAACGTGGCTGAAGTATGTTGACCAGACCACACACTAGAAGTTGAAGGGACGATGACGTTTCGGTCCGTCCTGGACCATTCTCAAGTCGATTGTGGGACGACGACGAAACATCGTCGTCCCTTCAACTTCTAGTGTGTGGTCTGGTCAACACATTCCTATACCCCCAACTTGTATTCCCCACAAGCTTGACTCACAGAGGAGTCTGCTAACCTCTCATGTAATACAGGCGACACGTTGGTTGCTTTGGCACCATAACTACGGAGAGGTTGACGAGGTGTTGGGACCCCAGAATCCGGATGCCTGACACGTGGGTAAGGAAATGATGGCAAACTTAATAGTGTGGAAGAGAATAGAAATATTGCACATCATCCAGAAACTGTTACTACTAGGCGTAAAATGTAGACAGTTGGTGAACTCGGAACTTGTTTTTGATACTTAAGAAAATCAATTTCTCAAATCAACATTTTTTTTTAGTCTACAAGAATCTGTTATAATTAAAGATTTTCCTCTGAAATTTTCAAGTCATTTTTTTTAGCCTTTTTTTTTTTTAGCTTTAGTTAAAAGTCACTAAATTTGCACATAAATAAACTGATATTTTCACAACAGCAGCAGTGAAATTATTACTATTTTAAACATTAGATTTATTTAAATGTAATCTAATATGTAACAATCTGGTAACAAGAATTATATGAAAAATATATTATAAAAATGTCAGCACTTTTTCTTCCTCAAAGCACAGGACAAATAGGTTTGGTTAGTGCAGCATCTAGGTTTGGAACCAATTGCCTCATTTGTTCACATAAGCACTACTATTCTAGTACACCTTTGGTTACTCACATTGCAATACTACTTGCGAAATGGCTGGGGGATCAACTTTCATCCCTCAACCCACTCCCTCAATAATACCCGTTACTTAATTAATACAACTTTCTCATCTACAACGTTTTGCCTCTCTATTCGTGTACCTTCTCCCCTACTTTTTCACTAGAGTCGTTCACTTCCTCTATTCGTGTTTCTCGGAGCAAGCTACTCTTAAATGAAAGTCAAGCCAGCATGCAGAATTCTAACAATGAAATGGGTGCTTCTTTAGTAGTCTATAAAGAGTATGTGAAGGAAACCATGAACCATGAAGGAAGAAGATGAAGAACCACCCCCTAGGGAACAGGGTGTAGAGAGTTGTAGACATAAAATAAGCTAGATTAAAGAATGCTGGTTAAAGTGTTGCTACAAACACAAAACTGAAGGAGTTAGTAACACATCACAACCACACTGCAGTTGATACTTTAGCTTTCTTTCACAGGCAGCAACAGTAACAGATTAAGCATTTTACAGTACACAAACACACAATAAAATATATATATATATATATATATATATATATATATATATATATATATATATATATATATATATATATATATATATATATATATATATATATATATATATATATATATATATAAAATTTACCTTAATGGATTGGTCTTTAAATTATGGATGTTTGGGCGAGAGGATATTGTCGTTGATTTATGTATTACTTCCTCTGTCTTCTCAATAACCCATAATTTAGTCTTCTTTGCTTCAACTTCACCTTCCTCCAATTCTCTCTCTCTCAAATACTGTTCTTCTATGTCTGTCTCCTCTTCACTGTGCATTTCCCTTTCCTCCTCCTCCTCCACCTCCTCATCAGTTGATGCTACAGACAGGTCAGCCACAACAATGGGGCCTTCTATTTCATTTCCAGTTTGTTTCTTATCCACAGGCTCTTCATCCATTCTCATCTTGGGAAGGTGGAATCGCAGTTGCTTGGGCGTCATGCTGGCATCATTGGCTCGGCTCAGTAGGGTATCTTGAGCAGTTCCTGGTTAATTGAAATATATAAATCGGTGAGTAAATTGGAAGACAGGGTGCTGTACTATTTTTTTTTTTTTTACAAAACAAAATTTTGATTACTAGAATAAAACTTTGTTGCCTTCTATTGTGGAACAAATAATATTTTTGCATTTAAATAATGCCCAACACATTCCATATTTCACAAAGAAATATCAAATACACACTCAGATATGCAGGTGGTCAATACAAAGTAAGTTCATAGCACCCACACGCATGACATGAAGATTAATAATGAAGGAAATAAAATTTAATTAATGTAGTTGATTTGTTTCTATAGATCATCTCTCATATATCAGTAAACTTTTAACTCATGTGAAGAGCACATAACAAAACACTCTTCACGTTATACTGTGGTTACCTTCATGGTAATCATGAAGGTAACCGCATTATCATGTACTTTGTAACCATGGTACATGGTTACAAAGTACAAGGTACAAAGTTACCCATGTAACCATGCGCCTGACAGCAGGGTGGACAACGCTTTGGATTTGTAGTCCCGAGGTTCCAGGTTCGATCCCCGGTGGAGGCGGAGACAAATGGGCAAAATATTTCTTTCGCCCTGATACCCCTGTTACCTAGCAGTAAATAGGTACCTGGGAGTTAGGTAGCTGCTACGGACAGCTTCTTGGGGATGAGGGGTGTAACAAAAAGGAGGCCTGGTCGAGGACCGGGCCGCGGGGACGCTAAGCCCCGAAATCATCTAAAGATGACCATGGTTACATGGGTACCATTTAACCATGACTGGGAAATGTACTTTCCTGAACGATACCTCTAGTATCAGCTCTTTTTTCAGATTTAAAATCCAAATAATTCACTATATTTAATTACAATTCATATAATGAAGAGGGCTCTTATATTTTTAGAATATTTGTATCTGTTTCCAACCACGTCTGTCTGTTCCACAGGTCCTTGCCTTCAAATATTGCTTCACTGACTACCTAGTCACAATCTTGCATGACTGCCTCCCTAGAATCTTGCAACATTAACATCGTATCTTCTTTCTTGCATTGAGGCTAGATCTCATACAATAAATATCTTTACTAAGTTTAATCTTCTTCATGGGTGCATGATATTTATGCTGGGGCAACATATTCAGTGTGTATTATGTATACTTCCAAGTCTCTCTCATTTTCTTATGTGAAAAGCCAATGTTCTTAATTTTGTATTTGGAATATTCACTCTCCTGTTCTTATCTTAATAAAGCAGCCAATTTTTATACTCCCTTTCAACGTGATTTCATTGTGTAATGATGTTTCATTTATGTCCTGAAGACATGAGGAGTCACCTGTGAGGAAATGGGGACCAAGTGTAAACAGCAAATGGGAAGAGGAAGGGGGGGGGGGGGAAGGAAGGAAGCAGCAGTTTCATGGGAAGTGTGTAAAGTTTTATGCAAAATGCCATACTGAAAACAGGAAAACTGGGTTAAAAAAAAAATTGTTTGACAAATCAAGTTTGACTAGATTGATAAATTCCCCGTTACCTTCACTAGCCTTCTTGGCATTAAGTTGTGGAAACACTGGGATGGATGTGTCACTTGCTGCAGCTGGGCTTAGTGGTCTCTGCACCATCTGACGTACCTAAAGGTTTCATCATCAATTATTGTTGCTAGTTTGATAAACCATTAAAACAATGAAGTTTAAACAGAAATAAACAAAAATTTCATATCCATTAATAAAGTAAGGTTCAACCAATGTTGCGAGGCTTTTTTTTGGTTTTCTGTACAATATTGCAACAGTGTTAGGGCCTAAGTAATTCGCAATGTGGCAGGTAAGTATTGGCAGTCAATCAGTATATGAAGGAACAAATCTACAAGGGCCGTGATGAGGGTTCGAACCTATGTCAGAGAGTATCTCAGATGCGCTTTGATCGACTGTGCCACGATATGGCACAGTCAGGCAAGTCTGGGATCCTCTCGTACGTAGGTTCGAACCCTCATCACGGCCCTTGTAGATTTGTTCACTTGATGCATCACACTATTGTGATTTCTGTGTGCAGTATATGAAGGATTAATCTGACACTAATACACAATTCTGCAACTCAAATGAGATACTTTAATGACAAAAATTATTATTTTCTTTAAAAAAATATTACCTTAATAAAAATCAATGCAAAATTTTGTTTTATGTTTAAGTGAAATATTACTGTGTTGCATAGTGATTTCTAAAATTATAAAATCATTGTGAAAACAATAAACCATAATAGCAAGGACCTATTAGCAGACCCTATAGCAAGGAAAATTATTGTTTGGGTTCATAAAACTTTAAATCAATTTCAAGGGAAAAGTTTTCAATTTCATGTTTATATCCATACTAAAAATATACTGTACATATGACATCTCTTTGTGTTAAATATACAGAAAGTCTTGACTGAATTAGATTGAATCTATTGAATCTAATTCAGTCATGCCTGGTCCTGGACCGGGCTTGGGGAGTAGAACAACTCCCAGAACCCCATTAAGGTAAGTTTTTCTGAAAGACCTAATTTTTTTTCCTTTTTATTTGAAATTGCTTTGAAAACAAAGATTTGACATTGATAGTCAACAGAATATTGAAGTAAGCTGCCACAAAGAGCAAGACTTCAGAAAACAAACAAGCAGAACAAGAATATACTTAACAAGGTCCTTAATCAACCCGTCCTCTTACAAAGAATGTCACATTTTGTTCGAATGTGTTACACAAGGCCAAAAATTGTCGTACTAGAAAATGGAAGCGACTCGCAAAAGTGACATACTGTCCCTTTTTCTATTTTGGGTCCTCTGATAAATTAAAGTGTCCTCTCCAAACCTAACAGCTTTATTGATGTTGGGAAACCTTAAGAGGGTGGACTGCATGAATATCCAGTTACTGTATCTAGTAAATAAATTACGCATACTGAATGGCTATGACTCCATTTCAGATATCCAATGAATTACATCAATTTTTTCAAAGACGTTCTCCAAGTGTACAAAATTAACTCATCCAAGCTATAGCTAATGTTATTACAGATTATATTTATAGACATTAGTTAAACAACAATTCTTGACATTATACTTCATTAAATAATGTCTGAAATTTCATAAGATAAAAAAATTATTAGATGTCATACTGACATCTAATAAAAGCCAAATTTCAAGGTCAGAATGAACCCACACTGATCTTACCTTAAGTATTGACTGGGGAGTATCAACAAGTGAAGAGTCAACACCAGGTTGCACTTCAGACTTTCTTTTACGCATGATCTTGGGAGTCTGCAACAATAACATCAGATCTGAGGAGATATTCTGAGGTATGCTGTAGAAGAAGAAGAAGAAGTGTCATCAGTATTATGTCAATCATATTTTTTAATGAGCATAACAGGAAGATAATACATGATATCAACAATGTTTTTAAATCACAGCCAACTGAGGATGATTGCCATGGTTTCACATTTCAGGTCCCTTTTGATGCAAAGAATTCAACCGATTCATGGAATGTTGATTTAACAAATCTCTGAGTTTAACAGTGTGCTTTGAGAAGCTGATTTATTGATGAATCATTCAGTAAATACAGCCAATGACTGTTACAGGAAATTCAGCACTTGTCACTCAGTATGATGATGGCACCAATTATTGGGTTTGATATTGTACTACGGCAACCTTGCATTTCACAGCAGTTTTTCTTGAAAAGACTGTGGGAAATACTAGCGAGTATTTGATGGGAGTGGGTGTGGAAGGCACAGATCTTTAATTTTAATACCTTGCCTGCAGCTCTAATATAGCTGACATCCCTCTAATGTGCAAGAACAAAAAATCTATTATTAAAATTCATTCCTTGATTATTGAATAATAATAAAAAATTGTATGCGACTCACTTCAGCCGTGGTGAAACTTGGAAATCTTGCAGTGATGTCACGATTCACAAGCGTTTATAGAGCAATCGCCCCAGGGTGGTGCATACCTTCCCCTCATCCCATCCCATATTCTTATCCCTTCCCAGTGCTATATAGTCATAATGGCTTGGTGCTTTCCCCTGATAGTTCCTTTCCCTTTGCCTGGGTGGTGGCCCAGAGACAGCCATGAGGTGGCAGATGCCACAAAGATATTTAAGAGACTATAGAAAGAGGGAAAGATGCAAAGTCCAAGACAATCGGCTTCCCTGGCGGGCGAGGATCACCACAAGCAAGGAGACCCCTTAACCACTACACTGCGCTGCATTATAATATGACACTCCTGTGGTGCACCACCCCCACTCAAAAAAAAAGTTCCCCAAAATAATTTTATCTTCTTATATTGTTAAAATGCAGTCTCTGATCACAGGAAACTAAAATAAAATATTGTATATGACATACTTTAGCTGTCATGGAGCTGAGAAGTTGAGCAATTTATGGGTGCCAAGTGAGTACGCGCTTGAACACGCACTACCCCGCCACCATGTGGGGCAGCAGTTGCCCCCGAATATAATTTTTCATAATTATTTCAATGTCTCTTATTTGTTTCTTCTCTGGTTTATTGCTGTAATATTATTCAAGTGTGTAATTTGTGGAATTTATGCAGTTAAATGTGAGGAATATCGCTATACAGTACTCAAAATTATGGAGCTCATAAATGGTGACACGTATATTGTATTCCAAGATCAATCAAACAGTGTTTTGTTGTTATTACACTATATACACAAGTTATATATAACTATCTAGTTTTTGTGCACCATAATGAACCATAAAGATGGTGTTGATACCTGGTTGATACCTGGTTGATGGGGTTCTGGGAGTTCTTCTACTCCCCAAGCCCGGCCCGAGGCCAGGCTCGACTTGTGAGAGTTTGGTCCACCAGGCTGTTGCTTGGAGCGGCCCGCAGGGCCACGTACCCACCACAGCCCGGCTGATCCGGAACTTCTCTTAGAAAACCGTCCAGTTTTCTCTTGAAGATGTCCACGGTTGTTCCGGCAATATTTCTTATGCTCGCTGGGAGGACGTTGAACAACCGCGGACCCCTGATGTTTATACAGTGCTCTCTGATTGTGCCTATGGCACCTCTGCTCTTCACTGGTTCAATCTTGCATTTTCTTCCATATCGTTCACTCCAGTACGTTGTTATTTTCCTGTGTAGATTTGGGACCTGACCCTCCAGTATTTTCCATGTGTATATTATTTGGTATCTCTCTCGTCTCCTTTCTAGAGAGTACATTTGGAGAGCTTTGAGACGATCCCAATAATTTAGGTGTTTTATCTCGTCTATGCGTGCCGTATATGTTCTCTGTATTCCCTCTATTTCAGCAATCTCTCCTGCTCTGAAGGGGGAAGTGAGTACTGAGCAGTACTCGAGACGGGACAGCACAAGTGACTTGAAGAGTACAACCATTGTGATGGGATCCCTGGATTTGAAAGTTCTCGTAATCCATCCGATCATTTTTCTGGCTGACGCGATATTTGCTTGGTTATGCTCCCTAAACGTTAGATCGTCGGACATCATTATTCCCAAATCCTTGACATGCTGTTTTTCTACTATGGGAAGATTCGATTGTGTTTTGTACCCTGTATTATGTTTCAGAGTCTCATTTTTGCCGTACCCGAGTACCTGAAATTTATCACTGTTAAACATCATGTTATTTTCTGCTGCCCAATCAAAAACTTTGTTGACATCTGCTTGTAGTTTTTCAATGTCTTCAGCAGAGGTAATTTTCATGCAGATTTTTGTGTCATCTGCAAAGGACGACACGAAGCTGTGGCGTGTATTTTTGTCTATATCAGATATGAGAATAAGGAACAGTAGCGGTGCAAGGACTGTACTTTGAGGTACAGAGCTTTTAACATCGCTTGGACTCGATTTTATCTGATTGACTGTTACTCTTTGTGTTCTGTTCGACAGGAAATTGAGTATCCAGCGTCCTACTTTTCCAGTTATTCCCATTGACCTCATTTTGTGAGCTATCACCCCATGGTCACATTTGTCGAACGCCTTTGCAAAGTCTGTGTATACAACATCTGCATTTTGCTTTTCTTCTAGGGCTTCTGTGATTTTGTCATAGTGGTTGAGTAACTGTGACAGACAGGATCTTCCCGCTCTAAATCCATGTTGTCCTGGATTGTGCAATTCATTGTTTTCCATAAAACTAGAAATTTGATTCCTAATCACTCTTTCAAACACTTTTATTATGTGTGATGTTAGTGCAACTGGCCTATAATTTTTTGCCAAGGCTTTACTCCCCCCCTTGTGCAACGGAGCTATATCTGCAGATTTAAGTGCTGCTGGTATCTCCCCTGTATCCAGGCTCTTTCTCCATATTACGCTGAGTGCTCTCGCTACTGGTACTTTACATTTCTTTATGAATATTGAATTCCATGAGTCAGGCCCAGGAGCTGAGTGCATAGGCATATTATCAATTTCTCTTTCAAAGTCTTCCGAGTTTGTGGTAATATCCGTTATATTATCTGCAGCTTGAATGTCATTCATAAAGAAGCTGTCTGGGTCATCAACTTTCATGTTGTTTATTGGTGTGCTAAACATAGCCTCATACTGGCTTCTTAGAATTTCACTAATCTCTTTATTATTTACGTAATTATTTTAGTGTCTGTGAATCGTTTATATCTAGTTTTTTGAAGTAATGTTATTCAATAGTATGTAATTTGTGGAATTTATAGTTAAATGTGAGGACCATCGCCATTCTAAAAAATATGGGGTTTATATATAGTGACAAATATATTACATTCTCAGATCAACCAAATGGTGTTCAAATGTTAGTGGCTCTCAGGTAAATTCAGATAAAATGAGTTTTCTCTGTTAGTGCACCACCCTTCAAATGAGATCTCGGTTAACACAGTACTTTGTTAAGTGTACAACTCAATTGTACACTTAAAGTTGAACAAGAAATTAATGAAAATATATAACTTATTTATTATTAGTCAAAATCTTAATTATAACAAAAAAATATGGTAAGTTTCAAGATATTTTAAATTGAATGAAATTTCCTGGCAACCCACCTAGCACTTGCATCAGGTCCTCCATATGTGGTCTTTCTTACTACAGAGTCTATAAGCACTGACATATCATCATGTAAACTGAAACTCTCTCCCAGGCGACTTCTTTTTGCAGGTCTAAAGAGGCCAATCTCTCCCTCCTCATCTTCAATGAGCCTAGAATGGGATGCTTGCACTCGGGAAGGAAACACCACGTGAGACAAGTCTCTGTTGAAAGAATACAAAATTAATTAAAAAATTTCAAGTAAAAAAATGTTATAGTCATTCCATGCCAAATGATCAACCACACACACACACACACACACACACACACACACACACACACACACACACACACACACACACACACACACACACACACACACACACACACACACAGTACTGAATATATAAAGGACCTTACCTTGCCGAATTATTTCTTTTGGGAGTGAACAAGGAAGTAATCTCCTCAATCTCGGGTTGTTCCTGTACTTTACGACGCTGAGCCTTGTTCCTGAATGGTGTGTAAGGTGTAGGGGAGGACTTCACAGAAGACCAAGCATCTAGGCTAGTGTCTAGCATTTTATTAATATTGGCTGTATGAGACTTCAGACTTGGTGCAGCTTGACGAATCTGCGCAGACAACGGCTGAGGCTTTGTATATATGGTTCGTGATGAACCAACATTCCTTATTGGACCACATGTTATCTGTATGGGGAATAAAATGTTACTACCGGTAAATATGTTTTGACCACAGGAGACTGATCATGAAAGGTGTTCCTGAGCCAGCATATCTCAGAATATGAGATATGCTGAGTTTGACGATTATGCTGATTTGGAGTAATGAGCAGGGTTATTGATAAGTCCATAGAGTGGAGAAGGTGAATGCAGTGATGGTGAAGGAAGGTGAATGCAGTGATGGTGAAGGAAGGTGAATGCAGTGATGGTGGAGGAAGTTGGATGCAGTGGTGGTGGTGGAGGAAGTTGAATGACCTTGTTGAGGACTTTAAACACTGTTCTTAAATTGCCAAGCTTCTCATACATTGGTGCTGTTATTCTATTTATGCATTTACAGTGTTAAAGAGCTGAATTACCTCCTAAGTCTTTCTCTGTTCCCCATTCCTAAGGAACCATACCTATATGGTGCAGGAAGAAAAGGTAAAAATGTGGAAATCACTCAGTAGAAATACAGTAATGCAAGCCACCAGAATCAGCCGTTTTAAGAACATTTATGATGGAAAACTATGGTATTGAGTAATAAATGATCACCAGGTTTTGATAGGAGGAGTACTCCAAGAGTAAAAAAAAAAAAATACTTCCTTCCAATTGGTACTGATAGATACAGTACAGGTAAACAAGTAGTTAGGCATTGTCCATCCCTTACCATATACAAAAGAAGTATAAATAATAGTTATACTCTCATATACTTACTCTTTTAGCAACATCTGGGAGGTGAGTGAGGTAGCCATGAACTAGTGCAGATCTTGCTCCCTGCCGCTTCTTGGCAGTGCCTAGACCCCCACGGAGGCTCTCCTGCAGGGCAGCAGCCTCATCATACCTGTAGTGATAAACATACAATACATCTGTAATATTTCATTTCTTTATTATACACCCCCATACCCATCCCATGGGTGGGGTGGAAAGGGTTACAGTGGCATATAATCAGTCCAGGAACTGAACCCCATAGTTTGTTTAGCTAAGTAAGTGACAGTCTTGTGAAGCTAGTTACACAATTGTTAATATTACATACACATGTACATACATGTAAACAAATACATATATTGTACATGTAAATAATCTTTTGATGTCACAAGTCAACAAGAGGCTCACAACTATATCTAAACAATGCACTTTACATCTACTGTGAGTCACAGTTATTAATCTTGCTTCACACCCAGTCAGCCACCCGACTGGTCGGCAGCCTTACAATCATGTGCATGCATTACCTACAGTAAGCAAATTTTGTGCAAAGGCATGCTACAAAATGGCTTCCGAAACTGAAAAACAAGAATTACGAGGAAAGGCACGAGGCATTAAATATGCCAAAACTAAAAGATAGAAGAGGTGATGATCACCACTTACAAAATAATACCAATAATCAACCAAACTGACAAAGGAATTCCTGAAACCAGTAACTTCAAGAACAAGAGGACACAGATCCAAGCTAAGGAAACAAAGGTGATGAAAAAATATTAGAAAGTTTTCTTTTGCAAAGTGGTAGACGGTTGGAACAAACTAAGCGAGGAGGTGGAGGAGGCCAAAACTGTGAGTAGTTTTAAAGCCTTATATGACAATGAGCACTGGGAAGACAGGACACCACGAGCATAGCTCTCATCCTGAAATTGCACTTGGGTAATGATACACATAACAGCAGTCTCTTCCTAGTACACATAACCATGAAATGGTAATAGGATTTTTTCATGGGTCAAGGTAAACATTGTAACGTCCACAGGGAGCTTAATCCATATTTGCATCACACACGTAAAACGCAGACAGTAATTGTCCAAATCGTCGTATGATGATGACGACCGCATTTCCCTAGTAATATTCATGACAATATTGGTAATTAATAATGATTCCAAATTTGCACATGGAATTAACATCACATGAGACAAGGAAGTATGTTATGATGTGCAAAACAGCCCATTGAAATGCAGAGGTGCAATAGGCACACAGAACTCCATCAACATCAAAGGTTTAAGACTTTTCAACACACTCCCTCTACACATCAGGGGCATAGCCTGCCAGCCTCATAGTGTTCATGAGATAAATAAACACCTCAAAAGGATACCAAATCAATCAGGCATTGATATCTGATCAATTCAGGTGTCAGGCTGCATGCAGCTGCATCCAACAGCCTGGTTGACCAGATTACAAACCAGAAGGCCTGTCAGAGTCCGGGCTGTGGGGATGATCATCCTCAGAATCACCAGAAGGTAACCACAGGGTAAGGTAGCCCATTTACATTACTTCGCTATTATAGACTGTGGGTTGGTTGGTGTTGTCGTCGTTGATCCTTCTCTACGGACAACCCAACCCACAACTCGGTAGAGTGCTTACACTTCACTAGGAGATCACACTAGGCGCTTCTGGCTCTTGGAGAGGGGCTCCACGTCACACGTTTAGGGGATGCGGCTCCAACACTCAGCCTCGTTGTCACGTGCACACACCCACTCGAGCCGCTGTGACTCCCCACTCTCTCCTTAGGTGATATGATCTCCTCAATCCCCTTTTGACTTATTAGTATTACCTTTTACCCTGTCCAGAGCAGTGGTTCTTGGTTCTTTCTCTCTCTCTCTCCTTCGTTACTACCTCCTGGGAAGCCTCACTAGGACAAGGGCAAACACCAGCAAATTGGGATACATTTACTGGACAAAGCACATACACGATACATACACACATATAATAATAATGAATCCTATACTCTATAATATCACAATCAGGTTGCACTCCAACACCATCAGAACTCTATTTTCAGCTTATCAAGTGGTATCATATCTCCTGGTTCACCACCTGATACTATCAACCTCCTCAAGTTGATCCAGTCTACATACACTGTTGCACCATCAGCAAGATAATATATATATAGAAAATCAGCATTTGAATGCAATAACATATATCAGTATAAATGTTCATTGATACACAACAATGATTAATCGATCAATATCAGTCCTAGAACGCATACATCTGTAGGTAATCAAGCCTACGACTGTAACTCTAAACTTCAGTATAAAAAAACTCCTTGACATAAGACTGCAAACAACCACTCACCTCTCACTGCGTCTTGCACACTAATGACAACCAAACACTATCAACTCCCTACAAGTAATCCACCAGAACTTCCCCTTCCACCTCTGGAAGTTCACAACCCTAATATCCTTAGGTTCTTCCGGGCTTCACTACCAGGATCCTCTGCAGCTCCTCCAGGCTGCTATCATGAAGTTTCCTTGAGCAACTACGGTGCTTCACCCTTCTGCTAGGGTCCTCCACAGCTCTCTTGGCTGCTACACCATGAAGTTTCCCCGAGCAACTGTGGTACTTCTCCACCTCTACAGAAGCACGTGACACTCCTCTTCACTGCTGCTTCTCTTCACAGCTCGAGGTCCTCTGCTCCACTACCTTTGGAGTCTCATCAATTACTTCATCTGCTGGCTTCGAAGTTCTCAGCAACTTCTTCCCCAAAGAACAAACCACAGATCGGCTGGTCGAGGGCGCTTTCCCTCTGACGGCGTCTGGTCAGGGCGCTCCCACGGCCCCCAATAATGCTTCTGGGCGATTTAATATCTGCTCGTCGACCAGGACTTGAGACCACAACGTTCCCAGCTCGATTCCACAGCTGGTACGTCCGCACACTTCTCTTCTCTTCGAGATATATCACTAGGGGTTCCCTTCTGACGGGAGCTCAAACGGAGCGCGGCTTCCCCCTGCGATGTCTGGCACTCAAGTGAGGTCAAGGTCCTCCAGAAGCGAGCCTCACGCCTCCAGCAAAATGTCCACATCTCCTAGCCCGTCATTTATCTATTTTCTTCTGCATTGCCCATAATCTCAAACTGTTACACATATCCAACCAACTATTTTGCATATGCGTTATCACCTCAATACTTGCTAGACCTTCTAGTTAGGTCAGGCTTGCTGAATAACTCTCAAGAAGGGAGACTCGTTTCTCCTGCAGGCTGAGATCATAACATCGCATTATTTGGATTGAACCCCAGCAACCATTTATCTGCCCATTCTTGAAGTTTGTAAAGGTCTTCTTGCAGCACCTTGTGGGCCTCTTTAATTCTTACTCTCCTCATTAACTTTGCATCATGTGCAAACTTCGACATGCATGAGCCCACTCCCTCTGTGGTCATTTACATATATTAAAAACAATGGTCCTAGGACAGCTCTATGGAACAATACTTTCCATTCCTCTCAAGGATAACATATCTTCTCTGACTATGACCCTTAGTTTCCTGTCTGACAATTATTCCCATACCCTGTCCAGTGTTGCCAAGTACCCAACTGATTGTATGCTTGAACATCTCGTGCACAGTGCAAGGGTTCATTCAACCCATGTATCAGGGTGTCTACCTGCTACAAACTGACAAAAAATCAAGGAGAGAACAAGTTTAATATACTATAACCAATTAATTTGGCACACAAGAACAATAATTTCGTTATGACTTTGTTAAGCATCAGTCACAGAAAACCACACTTTCTAATTATATTTTAGACAACCTTAAATGTTATTATTTCAGTGGTGCACTTTCAAAGGCTTCCTGAAATTTTTTGTGAATTCATTCCATTAAATGATGCAGGAGCTATATAGATTTTTTGAGAAGCTGGTGACCAAACACTGGCAACTAATGTACATGAAGAATTTGAGAGCACACACCAACCTGGCTCTTTGGAGGTAATAGACAAGAAGATAATCATAGGCAGATGTGTTGGCTGAAGTTTGAAGGTAAGAAACAAGGACTTCTTCCTCCAAGGGAGACAGTGGAAGGTGAATAACACACTCCAACTTCCCAAGTTGCTCACATCCTGTTTAGGAAAATGCTTCGTTTAGTATATCGCACAGCAATTTTGAATAAAGCACTAACGTAAGAACTTGGTATTTCAAAGGAAAACAACATATCAATGTCTAATAATTTCTGCTATTCTATTAAAAAACTAGTTCAAACAGCAGGCATTTTTTTTTTTTTTTTTGCATTTAAATCTTGCTGACAAAAATCTAAAATTAACAAAATACAGAATAAAAATTGTGTGTGTGTGTGTGTAATTACCTAAGTGTAGTTACAGGATGAGAGCTACGCTCGTGGTGTCCCGTCTTCCCAGCACTCTTTGTCATATAACGCTTTGAAACTACTGACGGTCTTGGCCTCCACCACCTTCTCACTTAACTTGTTCCAACCGTCTACCACTCTATTTGCGAAGGTGAATTTTCTTATATTTCCTCGGCATCTGTGTTTAGCTAGTTTAAATCTATGACCTCTTGTTCTTGAAGTTCCAGGTCTCAGGAAGTCTTCCCTGTCGATTTTATCAATTCCTGTTACTATTTTGTATGTAGTGATCATATCACCTCTTTTTCTTCTGTCTTCTAGTTTTGGCATATTTAATGCTTCTAACCTCTCCTCGTAGCTCTTGCCCTTCAGTTCTGGGAGCCACTTAGTAGCATGTCTTTGCACCTTTTCCAGTTTGTTGATGTGCTTCTTAAGATATGGGCACCACACAACAGCTGCATATTCTAGCTTTGGCCTAACAAAAGTCATGAACAATTTCTTTAGTATATCGCCATCCATGTATTTAAATGCAATTCTGAAGTTAGAAAGCATTGCATAGGCTCCTTGCACAAAATTCTTTATGTGGTCCTCAGGTGATAGTTTTCTATCTAGAACCACTCCTAGATCTCTTTCTTTATCAGAATTCTTTAAAGATTTCTCACATAATATATAGGTTGTGTGGGGTCTATGTTCTCCTATTCCACATTCCATAACATGACATTTATTAACATTAAATTCCATTTGCCAAGTGGTGCTCCATATACTTATTTTGTCCAGGTCTTCTTGAAGGGCATGACAGTCATCTAAATTTCTTATCCTTCCTATTATCTTAGCATCATCAGCAAACATGTTCATATAATTCTGTATACCAACTGGTAGATCATTTATGTACACAATAAACATCACTGGTGCAAGAACTGAACCCTGTGGTACTCCACTTGTGACATTTCTCCATTCCGATACATTGCCTCTGATTACTGCCCTCATTTTTCTATCAGTCAGAAAATTTATCATCCATGTTAGAAGCTTACCTGTCACCCCTCCAATATTTTCCAGTTTCCAGAACAACCTCTTATGTGGAACTCTGTCGAAAGCCTTTTTTAGGTCCAGATAGATGCAGTCAACCCAACCATCTCTTTCCTGTAATATCTCTGTGGCTCGATCATAGAAACTGAATAAATTCGATACACAGGATCTTCCAGATCGAAAACCATACTGTCTGTCTGATATTATATCATTTCTCTCCAGGTGTTCTACCCATTTAGTTTTGATTAGTTTTTCCAATACTTTCACTATTACACTTGTCAATGATACAGGTCTATAATTGAGGGGGTCTTCCCTGCTGCCATTTTTGTAGATTGGAACTATGTTAGCCTGTTTCCACACGTCTGCTACGATTCCTGTAGACAGGGATGCCTGAAAGATCAGGTGAATTGGAATGCTGAGCTCAGATGCACATTCTCTCAGAACCCATGGTGAAACTCCATCTGGGCCAGCTGCTTTGTTCTTACTGAGCTCCTTGAGCATATTTTCCACTTCATCTCTAGACACCTCTATCCGCTCTATGTTGTGCTCTGGAATTCCCATTGTGTCTGGTTCTCTGAAGATTTCATTTTGTACAAACACACTTTGGAACTTTTCATTTAATGTTTCACACATTTCCTTTTCATTTTCCGTGAATCTGTTTCCCATTTTCAACCTCTGGATATTATCCTTTACCTGCAATTTGTTGTTTATGAATTTGTAGAATAGGCCCGGTTCTGTTTTACATTTATCCGCTATCCCCTTTTCAAAATTTCTTTCTGCCTCTCTCCTTACTGCCGTATAGTTGTTTCTCGCATCTTTGTATCGCTGGTATGTTTGAGGGTTTGGCCTCTTCCTATACTGATTCCATTTTTGTGTCTTTTGGTCTCTTGCCCTCTCACAATATCTGTCGAACCAATCCTGTTTTCTGGCCCTGCACCTCTGTTTTGGTATGAATGTTTGTGTGCCTTCCTCGTATATTTTTAAAAATTTGGCATACATTTCATTTACTTCCCTGCCTAGCAACAATTCTGTCCAATTTCACTCATTAAAAAATTTTTGAAGTTCCCCATAATGTCCTCTCCTTAAATCAAGTTTATCAACTGTTTCAATGTCCCCATTTTCTTCTAGATGATATCTTAAAGCATAATCAATGTCTAACAGGACGTGATCACTCTTTCCCAAGGGAGGAAGGTACTGGATGTCAAATATCTCTTCTTCTTTCCTGGTGAATACTAGATCCAGTACTGATGGTACATCTCCTTCCCTCATTCTTGTGGCCTGCTTTATGTGTTGATACAAGAATGTCTCCAGAATGAGGTTCACAAATCTGCATGTCCGAACGTCCTCCGAACGTGTGTGTGTGTGTGTGTGTGTGTGTGTGTGTGTGTGTGTGTGGTGCAGTAACCCTTAACCTAATCTACTGGGGACACTTTCTCAAGTACCACAAACAGAAAATATCTTGCTAATATATATCTATGGTCTGAGACAGGTACATGGCAGCAAAATTTTCATTTCATTTATTAGACAGATATTTTATTTACTATTGGTCTGATAAATTTTTAACAGAATGTCAACGTGTGCAAAACCTATAGATGATGTCACTGAACTAAAAGATGGCCCAAATGTTTATCTCACACCACTGAATCTGAAGTCTATATTGATTTCAATATCTCAAGTTGGCAATTAAAATTCATTCTCTCATTAATGCTACAAAATATTACCAGTAAAGAGGTGGTTAAGAAGATCCTCGGAATTGTTCTTGATGCGGTGAGTTCGCTGATAGTGGAAGGCTTCCCTAATAAGTCCATTGGCTAAAAGGAGGGTCAAATGAAGCCTTATATCATCCAGATCTGCCTTGGGAGGTTGACGAATCTGAGCATATGTCAGAGCTCTGCTGTGTTCACCCTTGTTTAAAAAGGAATTGATAGATGTTATATAGGTTACATCATACCAGAAGGGAGGTGCACGCATTCAACAACAATCTCTCTCATTAGTCACAAAGTTGTATGGAACATCAAAAGAATGCAACCATACAGCTATAAAGCTCCTACATTTTTATTCCTGAAAGTATGTAGGGTAAAAACCTCTTCAAAAATCAGTATACTCGTGCACCTTCATATGCAAGATCTGAAACTACAATCCTAATCTGGCATGTAGACTAACTCATAATATTTAAACAGCAAAAGCACCAGATAAAATCAGGTTCTTGTCAAAGGCAATGTGAAAAGTGCCTTTCCGAGCCATTCACTTATGGTTACGTAGATGATGAGTCACAATAACGAGGCTGAAGATATGAAGACTAAACCACACACCAGAAGATGAGACACAACATTTCAGATATCCGAGACCATTACCAAGTCAATGGTGGTAGAAGCAAGGGAGAAACGAGCATTAAGTAAGGCAAGAGAGGTGGAGGAAATTCCTAGAGGAAGGTAGAAGAAGGTAAGAGCAAGGAGAAAGGTACAGATGGGATGGGTGTAATGAAGGGGGTGTAAGAAGGGGGGTAATAATGGGTATAGGAAATGAGAACGTAACAATAAGAGGAGAATGAAAAAGAAAGAGAAAGGATGGGTAAGCTTATGTAAGGTCAAATTTGTTAGAAAGGTTAGAGCATTTGAATATGTACCGTGAAAGCGAAGAGTCAACAGCAACAAAGCCAGGACTAAAGTTCGTGTTGGGAATGTTGTGTATCAGAGCCGAGTCAACAAGACGGTGTCTGAAGAGTAGAAGCAAGAAAGATTATTTGAGAAGATCAATCAATAGGATAATTAGAATTACTAACATTACAGAAGAGAGCATTGTTTGTGTCTGCAGACTTAACACTTTCTTATGTGTTCCTTAAGTCTGTCATCTAGTGTATGGGCAGTTTTCCCAAAGTATTGGAGAGGACAAGATGAACAGGAAATAGAATAGACACCAGCAGCATTAGAAGCAGGAGGAGCAGTGTGAACCAGATTACTATGGAGTGTGCTAGTTTGTCAAAAGGCAAGCTTAGTGAGATCATTAATACCCTTCGTCCTCTTGGCATGGAACCGAATCCCAAAAACCCCCAAGAGGAAGCCAGAGATACAGCAACTGACGCAAGGACACCGGGAAACGAACCCAGCAATCGCGGGAGCTGTGAAAGAGGCCGATCCGATCCTACCAGAACAGTTTTCAAAGCCAAACCCTGCCCAGCAGAGAAACCAACAGGGCAAAGTTCAGGCTCCTGCACAGCTGCTCGAGCAACTGCCAAGTGACCCGAGTCCCCCTCAAAAACAGCTGATGGAGGGACCACAAGCTGCAGGAGGGAGAGAAACTGGCGCAGTCCAAGAACCCCACACTACGTCCAGCAGAGCCCAAACCCGGGACGGAACTGGAAATTCCGCAAAGTTACCATGAACCTGAATCCGGCAAACTGGGAAAGAACCAGACAAGCTAGCAGACAATCAGACCAGCAGGGAGCCCACACCAACCAGTCGTCAAGGCAGGTTGCCAGCCAGGAACACATTGGAACCTCAAAACACACCTGATCAGTATAAGAGAAACTGAACTCAAACAAAGCGAGATCCAACACAGGTGAAAACCGGGTCTCGCAAGAAGTATGTGCCAAGGGCCTCCCGAACCTCCTTAGGGGGAAGACGAGAGGAAGAAAATCTCCGAAAAGATGAATCCGAAGAACTCGAGGGCACCCAGAAACGAACCTGTGGGGAGTCCTACCTACTGTATTTGTCGGTGGATAAGATGCAAAATGTTAATTAAATTTTTTCTTGTTTGGGGGGTGGGACAGTGATTGCTCAAATAGATAAAATACATCCATTAGGTTTCTTTTACACAGCTTAATCTATAATACACATGAACTAAAAATAAAATGTCGACATTTCTATTATCATAACTAGCTGATCAAAAATATTCTTCCAAGTTAAAAAAAAATCCCAGCATATTCTCAAACATGTTAGAACACCTTGAAGAAATAGAAGTAAATATTTTTCATATTTAATTGAAATACAAATCCTTGAGTATTTATACTGGCAAGTCAATAAATTCAGAAAAATCTATGAAATTCAGAAATACTAAATCAACAAAAAATATACTACACTCCCAAATGCGTATTTATAAAATAAAATAAATGTTGGCAACAAAAATAAACCATAAATGGATTACATTGACTGTGAATAACTCGCCTGATAAAGAAAAGCCTTCATGATCCGGCGGTGCTGCCAAGTGGTGATATCGTTTGTGCTGACAAGTGGATCGAGTAGCACATTCAGACCCTCCTGTAGAAGTATATGAGAGGTAATACTAATGCACTGCCAAATGTTTCTTAACACGTAGTGGAAAACCTTGCAAACATTTCTACATACAACATTTATCCTTTAAATTGTCTGGTTCCCGAGGGTTTAAATTTAACAAAACAAACTCCAATAAATGTGAAATGACAAAAAGAGTGTTATATGATTAATACCAACAATATGTTGGCAAGTTTTCAGGAGTTAATATTTATAAAAATAGACTAACTCAAGAATGTTAAATATTTTTGGATCAGGAATGTGTGTACAGTACAGTATATGGATGGTGCACGAAGTTGTATGGGATAGAAGCAGAAAATGACAAGGTTCCTCGAGATCATCACACACACATCATGATCCCGATTACACTCATGGGTAGGGAATACCTGAGCCCAGTGAAAAATGTTGAATAATAAAGCAAAGATAACAGCTACTGAACTATATACAAAATTTTATATATTATTCATCCATTCATTGTATTATTCACATTGTGCAACATGAGGATAACAAGCACCACCACACCGGATTATAGGAGGCAACTAATGCTCCAGTTATAAATGGATAGTAGGAAGGGTATAAAGAGCTACATCTCGCTCCACTGTAGTTATTAATATGGAAGCAAACGGCAATCATTTCCTCTATTCTTATGTTATAAGGGTAACAGAAAAATGTGACAAAGTAAATCATAATAAGGACAAGGAATACATAAATGATTCAGTAAATGACTAATTTTATTATAGACGAGTGGAAGGAACAATGCAACATGTCATAAATGAGCTCGGTGAACACGAAACATGACCTAGAAATTGGCTACTATAAAGGCACGAGAGGAAGCATATGGAACTCAAGGTAACTATTGAGAAAATTCCATGGAAAATACAGGAAGACAGAGGAGATGGAAAGGAAAAATGGGTCCTCACACAAACTCTATACAAGAGGGACAAAAAGGGAAGTAGTAAAACACACACAGGTAATACAAATCCACAGTAAGAGATGAAGCAGCCACAGGGCTACAAGGGAGTGGAAGAAGGAAAACTGGCCAAAGAATCAGCCAAGGGAATAAAGGAAAGAATTAAAAAAAGAGAATAACAGAAAAACTTTACAGAAGCAACAAAAGGTACAGAGCTAAGAACAATATTTAAAACTTGTCTACTTTTTCACTTTCACCTTCACAATTCTCGGGGCCTATTCATTGCTTTACCATTCAAACTCTTCTCTTTCTCAAAACTCCAAAAATCAGTTATATCTTGAGGGTCTTGATATGGATCATATGTAATGCTAACTACCTTCACTATCAAACATGAATTTACTGCACATTGAACTTGGCTATGAAAAGACATTAATGCCACACACACAACTCACTACACCAAGTGTAAAAAGAACTTCACAAAAATATTTTCTACAAGTAAAATAAATAGCATTTGTGAAACTCACCTGAAAATCTTTATGATCCAAGAGCCAGAAGGCCTGTGTTAACTTGATATGTGATGGGGACAGAGAAAAGCTAGAGGGATATTTCACAAGTTCCTCCACAACCCTCACATACCTGTTGGAGAGTGACACCTTTACTTTTTATGCCAATACAGTACATCATTTTGTTTTTGCCACATGTAATCTTTCATTGCATGCTTCAATATAAAGTACTATGTTCACATTCTGCCGACACAAGCACACCAGCCATTGCATTCCGTGTTAGAAATATCCATAAAGCACTCGAGTGTCATATCATGCCTCGTTCATCTTGAAATTGGCTAATTTTTTTCTACTATGCAATATTTTAATAAATTAAAAACAATTTTAATACCAAAATTAATGTTTTTATAATAAACATTAGGTTTGCAAAACGAAAATAAACAAAGTGAATGCACTTGAGTATTTACTTGCATAATTGTACATACTTGGACCATCGAATGGTGCTAGTACAGAAATCAGGCTTTGAGTAGTCGTGAAAAACAGTTTTATAAGCAGAATAATTGGATTGCTCTTAACTCTTGCTTGCCCATCTTCAGATTTAAGTTACACGAACCAGGCAGACTGAGTATTTGAACCTTGTTTGCCTAGTTGTGTCTACTGGAAGTGAGATTCGACTATACACCCTACACCTTATATCTATTGTACTTTGTATCTATAGTATCTATTGCATTTACTTTATTGTATTTATACCCTCCAATTTTCCAGGAGAGTTGTACCAATGAACAGGTACACCTGGAATGGATTCTGGGAAATCAGTATCCGCTTGTTTTTATATCAATAAAATTTCATCAAATACTTTGATGCTGTACTTGTTTTTGTATTTTTGTTTTTACACAGGTGTGTACAGATGACCGACTCATCAGAAGGCTTAGAACTCTCCCTCTCACAGTTTAAGCCATACAAAAACATTTTTTTCTGGAACATTTATCTACCAATTGGCTTACAAACACCTCCCTAATCACTGCAAGGTGAACATGGGACTAATTACTGCACGTGAACATTACAAATTGGTGACCACTTGTTCCTTCCTTTCCAGAGGACCGAGTTATGAGGAAAGAGTGAAGGAATTAAACCTTACGTCACTAGAAGGCAGTCGAGTTAGGGGGACAAAGGATGGCATCATAAAATTCTCATGAAAATTGACAGAGCAGACAATACGATACTTGTAATGGGTGGTACACAAACAAGAGACTGCAAATGGAGACAAAGTAACCAAGTGAGTTACAGGGACATTATAATTTTTTTTTTTAATTTGAATAATCAGTAAATGAAATGCACTAAAGAAACAGAAGTGGTGGTTACTTACTTGTGTGGAGTCAAAATCTTGACACAGTTTCATGAATAGCTATGTTCAACATGGTACATGTCCATGTTGGACATGAACCCAACAGCAGTTACTCCATCAAATTATATATATATGATTCGAGAGAGTAATATTTGAACTTCTAAGGTTTGATGAGACTTGCATCTCAATGATTAGTCGTTGAGATGTAAGCTCATTCTAACCACATACCTTGACAAAGCATTCGAGGGTGTGCGAAAGACTTGGTGTAATTTCTTTTACATAAATTTAACAAATACGTAAGTGTGGGTTTTTATCCTATTGTTTCAGATACTAGTAGCATAAAGAAGTTAGATGTAGGGGCACTCAGGTTTTTACCCTGTTATTATATCTGTAAGAAGACATTATCATTACTTATCTGAAATAATGTCACCGAACTTTGAAAATTAATGATCTTAAACACATTCAAAACAGAGGAATAGTATCACAGCTAGTGATATGGAACACACTGGGAATGGTGTTGACCTGGGAAGCAAAGCCTTACCTACCTTGTGGTTACCTTGCGAAATTCGGGGCTTAACATCCCTGTGGCCAGGTCCTCGACCAGGCTTCCTGGTTGCTGGACTGGTCAACCAGGCTGTTGGGCGCGGCTGCTTGCAGCCTGACATATGAATCACAGCCTGGTTGATTGGGTATCCTTTAGAGGCGTTTGTCAAGATCTCTCTTTAACACTGAAGGGTCGGCCAGTTATGCCCCTTATGTGTAGTAGGAAGTGTGTTGAAGTGGATACCAGTGGTGTAATCCTCATATTGCGCATGCTCACTTTTCATCATCACCTGCTCACTTTTCATCGTCACCTGCTTCTGTATCACTGGTATCCAATTGTCATGTTAGGTCATTATTGGGTCTTAGATTGTTAACATCACCATCAAGGTCAAGTTCATACATGACATATTTCATCCTTTGAGTAATTTTTTAACCACGTGACCCTTGGGTAACCAGGAGCTAGATGTACATTCATCAGCCATGGTCACTCACTTGAAACCGAGCCTACTCACGGCTGTGGGGCACGCTTGGAATATTTTCCAAGAGGGCAGATGGTCACTAGAGGCCTGAGGCATCCATATGCTACCCAGGTTTCTGTGCACGAGTTTTGAATTGTGTGTTATACCTGGAATGGGTTTCTACGCCGAGCCTGGCCTCAGGCTGGGCTCGTGGAGTAGAGCCCGACTTGCGATAACTTGGTCCAACAGGCTGTTGCTTGGAGTGGCCCACAGGCTCACTACAGTCTCGTTTGTCCGGCACTTCTTGCAAGAACGTGTCTAGGTGCCTCTTGAATACATCCTCCTTTGTTCCGGCAATATTTCTAATGCTTGCTGGGAGGGTGTTGAAAAGCTGTGGTCCCCTAATGTTCAGACAGTGCTCTCTGATTGTGCCTATGACATCTCTACTCCTCAATGGTTCTATTCTGCATTTCCTTCTGTATCTTTTGCTCCAGTATGTTGTTATTCTACTGCACAAATTTGGGACCTACAAATGACTTTGCTCAGTGAAACCACCACCAATCAACAAGGATATCTCAAGTGAGCACAGTTCAAGGGTTAAATCCTAACATCTACAGAATGTTTGCACCCACCAATAATTGTTATAGTTAAGACTTTAAAACAGAATTGTTTGCCAATGACAGTTCTATCACATGCCATGTTCAAAATGATATATATACATGAATTGGATTTCTATTACTTTTTGTTTAATATAGACTTGAAGATGGATTATGATGGATTTGTACTTGCCTAAATGTGCTTCGTGGTTATTTATAAAGATATTTTGCTACACTATGCTCCAAGTAAGAAAAGTCACAAACCTTTATATGCATTATAGTGGATGTTGGTCCTCTGATTTTTACCTGGGGGATTGAAGGGCCGATGGGTCAAACGAAATCCCTTCAATGAACAAATCTACCTTGCCCATATAGTTCGTTAAAGTGAGCACACTGTAACATTGGTTAATAATCATATATGTATAACCGGAATCTTTCATTTTAAATCTGTCTCACAAACTTACCCATCAGATAAGAGTGATGCAAGGTCAAGGAAGAGATACTGAACAATTCGGTGCTTGGTGGTGGTAGACACGTCAGGGAGGGTAAACATCGACAGGAGAGCATGCAGTGATGGGGGAGGATACATTCCACTACCTCCATCTTTCTCCCATGCCTTTCCTATGCTATTGTTTGAACCTCCAGCTGTCTCCTCAAGCAAGCCGTCAATCAACAGCACCTCATTGCCAACGAGAGATGAGCTAAGATGATGGATCTCGGAACGCCTGTAAAGAATAGTCAATGTGTGAGTAGCAAAATATACTAAGGTTTACAAGAGAAAACAGGGGAGATAGAAATAAAAACAGGGAAGGCAGAAATGTAAACTGGAAGGTAGGTAATGTATAGCAAACCAGCCAGAGGCTTAATGTCAATGCAGGAATACTTTTAAAGACGACGTGTGCATTAAACATACAGTATTCCCAAAGGATTATAACGTTAAGACTGTGAACTAGGAAAGCTCTTAATGCACTTAAAGGGTTCTTTTCCTGCCCCCCAATTCCTTTAACCCCTGGGCAGCACTTGTTATTATAGTCTGCAACACCGCCGGGTGCAAGAAAAACAAATTCAAATTTTTTTTCTTCTTCCAAGATTGTTAAAATGTGTTTCTTGATCACAGGAAAAATAAAATACAAGGCATAGGTGACATATTTTGGCCACAATAGGGCGAGAAAGTCTCGCAAAATTGAGGCAGTGGCAGAGTAAGCGTCCCGCGCTGTCAGACGGGAGATGCCTCAAAAATATTACCTGTATTTCAATGTCTCCGATTGATTTTTTCTCTTTTTTTTTTTTTGCAGTATAATTATTCAATAGCATGTAGTGTGATATATTTATATAATAAAATGTGTAAACCATCGCTATAATCAAAAGTATGATGTGCATATCAGTGATTCAATTATTATGTTCATAAAATAATAAACAAATAGTTTTGCTGTTATTATACTATATACACAAGTTATAAATAAGTATCTGCATGTTTTGTTCACCAAAGCAAACCACTAAGTTGGGAAGGCGAGTCCAAGCAACATGAGTAGCTGCCACACATCGGCCAGCAGACGGTACCTCCCATCTTCTAACACCTTACTCGCCAACATTCTTCCTCCCACAATACTGTTTGTGCAGTTATTACACTATCTACACACATATATAATAAGTATCTACATGTTTTATTCACCAGAATTGTGCAACTAAGCTGGTATGGTGTCCAAACAGCATAGTGGCCACCATACACTACATGTCAAGTCACACACCAGCCAGCAGACAACAGCCTCGCTCCCTCCCTTGCCAAAATGGCATGTAGAATAAGTAACTATTTGCATAAAATTGATAAAAATGGTGATAAAGTATTGTGTAAAACCTATAGTGTAATACGTACACCTATATTGCACATAATTTCTTCCTGGCACAGCTCAAAGGATCATATTACCCCAGAGATCAATGTATAATTAAAACTACACTTTAAAGATTAATGGCACAGCTATAAAGACGTTTAATAGAAATGCAATAAATTCAATAATGCAATGCATTCTGTACTAGAAATGCAATAAATAACATCTGAAAATCAAGCAAACAAAATTTTTGTAACCCTTAGTGTGGTCGTATCCACGTGTTGTATAGTGAAGTTGCCTAGAACAATTTACACTGTCTCAATGTTTGAATATTCATTTGGATTACCCAATGATTCAGATTGCAGGGAATTCGGATTCCAGAGCTCTAACAGCAGCTGCACTTTAAAGGTTAAGCAAGATATAAACATAGCCAAAATTGAAGTGCCACAACAAAATGGTCAAGACCAGTTGAAAGACCATTTAATTATAGGCATCTTACTCTTCCTGAATAACATTATAGACAGCTCATGTTCATAGAATAAACTGAGAAAGAAATACCATTGTTGCTCTCAGGTATGTGCTTGTTAGTTGTACAACAAGACAACTCTTCATCAGAATGAGTTTTGATGAAACTTTTCTCCAAACATTGAATTAACTAATTTGGTATTTATTTTATGAGTTAATTACTGGTTGTTAAATTTATCCTAAAAATGGTCACTAGGAGATGGTCACCACACTGCCAATTTTCAAGAGAAACTTGTTCATGAAGTGCTGAACACATTAGTCAATACAGAAAAGCATTCAGTACATTGTACCCGTCCAAGGACTCATTTAGTCAAAATATCACCCTCAAATCTGAATTTAAAATTTTTCTTAAATTGTCATATATGTAATCAAATATTTATGTTATAGAAAAGAAATAATATCCAAGGGCCACATTACCTATTTTTGTAAATGCGACACAAGAGATCTGCTGGAAATGGCACATGACACTCTTCAGTGACATCTTCTGTTGGAGTGTGAAACAGCAGGCCACAGTGATAAAACCAAAGCACCACACTCAAGTGCAGCATTAGCAGACTGACAACTTGAACACGACTTTCTAACTCGCCCGCACCTATAAAATACAAAAGCAAATTCACACCCAAAATGTACAAGCATCACTATTGGAAATGATACAAAATAGAAATGAAATAATACGTGGGACTAGGTTATGGAACATTGATAATAGTTCAAGTTCATGTACAAGTATATGTACAGGGATATTTTTTTGCTGCTTTACACAATATTACACATAGTTCCCACCCTTGGTACTCAAGGAAAACTAAAAATAATCAGTTATAAATATTCAAAAGCTGCCTTACCCTGGAGTGTGATCATATTCGTATTTGCATAATTGCGAATGGTAGTGATGATAGTAGTAAGAGAAGCAAGACTGGTCAAGTTCTGGTGAAGTGAGGTAATGCTCTCGGGACTCATAACCCCACACTCGGGATCAAACAACGGCATACCTGAAACAATATCAAAGCAAGATGAAATCTCAACTATACCAATGCAAGAATCCACAATATACAACAATTAATAAATTCATTAGCACTAAATCTATGTTAAAAATGCCAATCAAGACTCAAATTGTCTGAATATTTAAATACAACAGCACGAGCTGAAGTCCCTAACCCTTTGTTTCCTTAACTAAACAAAACATTGTGCCATCACAGTCATAAACCTCTATGTACAGCAATCATCTTTCCTCACATATTTCCTAGTACCAAACGGCACGTTGGTCAAAGTGCATTTCAGATTCCCGCCCCACTACTGTACAGTATTATTACATAAAGTTGTGATACGGTAAACCACTCAAAACACGTGAACATGGACAATTTTAAAACTTATTCCCATTAACTAACTGGAGTAACTTTCCAATAAATACCCTGGAAAGTCCCCCCCCCTTTTAAAACAAGGAAAAATTACTAAATAAATAAATACTATAAAATATATTGACACATGGTCATCAATGTACTATGTGAATTGTCAATATAATTAAACTGAATGATAATTTGTGCACTTACAGAGATTGTCATTTGTAGCCTTGATTACGCTGACACGAGACCATGACCACTCAAGGAGGGAGGGAAGTGAACAACCTAGGTTTGTGAATCGTCCTTCAGAGAACTCTGCCACACACTGCACCAAGAGAGATACTAACTGCTGATCCAGTGCAACATTCAATAGGGCCTCACGTTCCTTTACCTGAATTGGAGAAAACAAAATTAAAACTGGTACCATACAACACTCAAATGCTCAGAAAGTAATGTATTTTGAAATACATTAGCCATCTTATGCACTGTACAACTACAGTATATGTATTGACTACTAACAATAATTATGAGAAGTATTCCTAGTCCATGAACCATGCATGTTGCAATATCAACAATATTTGAAATGTGCTGTAAACAAAAATGCCCCTCACTCTCCTTTGTACATCAATTTTAAAATACAGTATGATTATGAGAGAGGAAAATGTGGAAGTGAGCAGGGTGGAACCAGAGGTTGTATTTGGGGTAGAAAAGTGTCTACCTGTGGGTCATTCACTCCATGCCAAATCATCACGGCTACAAATCTCACCGTATACAAAATTGTTGCCCTCAATGATGAATGAAATTCATACAACAGGATTGCCAATGTGACCATATTTTTTTGGCTTACAAGCTATTAAAAAAAAAAAACTTTGCTTCTTATTGAGGTTCATGTTGGCCTGTTTGAAGCTAAATAAATACATATTGTTTTCATTAAAAAAAGCTTTACATTATATATTAAATTTTAATTTCAAGATCACATGACATGACCTTTGACCTTAAATAAAAAAAAGTGCATCTTTAATTTTTTGTCAGGGAAAATCTGTTATACATTCTGTTATACAATATGCAATTCTGTTATACAATCTGTTATACAATATGCAATTCTGTTATACAATCTGTTATGCATTCTCTCTAAAGCAGGACAGGACAGACCCGAGGGTCTACTTTGCTTTGACAGAAACGCATGTGGTTCCCAACATATATATAGTTGTCCCTATTTTAAAGTTTGAAATGAGATAAGTTACACTAAAAAAAAAATCTAGTTTGAAAACAACTAAATTTAGGCATGCTTAACAATAACTGCAAAAATCTATAGAAGTGAAACACTCCCCTTAAGTACCGTGTATGTATAGGTGTGAACTTTTTCTAAAAATTTATGTCACAATTAGACTACAACACATCTTCAAACTCACCATGGCAGAACCAACTGCAGGAAGAGTATCTGGAGATACAAGACCAGCAAACACGCACATAGCATACGCATCCTCAGGGCTCACTATTGCTGATGGACCATTGGTGGTGAGGTGGCCGAGTGCTGCCTGCTGTGCACTCTGGCATCGGTACTCCACTAAACCTTCACTTGTCAGCACATGAGCATCTAAAAATGCAATGATTATGGTGAGCACTTCAGAATATCTATTGAACATTAAATTTAAAGTCCAAGATTGTTACAAAATTACACACACAGCAAACTTAATTTACCCATTGGCAAGAAAGTGCAATTGAGATAAAAGACCCCTGCCACCAGACCCCCAACAAGATGCAATCATGATGCTCTAAAATTCAAACCAACACCCTGCAACTCTAAGGACAGAAGAGCCTTGCAAGAGTTTAAAAAATTACACAACACCTATGTATGATGACAGTAAGAACATAAATCTAAGTAAAAAAAATGTTGAAACAATAAGAACTTACCATATGACAATGCTGCAGGGAACCAATCGCTCTCATTACAGGTGCGAGACATGTGACGTGACCATGATGCAGGTTTGGCAGCAGCACTCAAGACAATTTCACTCTGACCCCCATTAGTGGTATTTCCAGGCACTCTGTCTAGCACATGAAAGCTCATGTAGGGGCAAAGGTGATTCTTCTCAAGCTTCAAATTTGGAGGCATTTGTGCCTGCAGAAGAAATTTACTTTTTATAAATATCTCGGTATAAATGACAATGTGCTAATCTGAGAGCATATTGAACATTTAAATGTGAATACAGCATATTTATTAGTAACCTGTGTACAAGTGAGATGCACTACTTCAAAAAATTTCCACCCAATATTACATGAACTTTGAATTTGTATGCCATTAAAAAAAGAATTTTATTAAATAACCACATTTTTAACCAAGAAATTTTTACATAATATTAATATGGTTTGCAAAATTACTTCTAGATACCAATAATTTTGCCAAGCAATTCTAAGTTTTTCTTTCAGGTACTGCCATTAAATCCTATAAGAAAACTAATTAATCAAAGTAGTCATACCTGATACCACTGATTGATGTCAAACACAGCCAAATAGTGATTGATGGAGACATGCCCCTCTTCAAGGGAACCACCTATCCACCCAAACAGGCACAAACTTTGCTCAGGAACAGGTCCAGCTGAAATATTTTTCAGAAAATAACATACCAATAATATAAAAAATTACACCCTTCCAAAAAACAGTGAAGGAAAAAACATATCGCAAATGATAAAATAAATGCATTTCAGGTCTAAAACTAACCAATACATTATTACACACGTGTGCAACCTCCAAAATCTGGACGATACCATTCCAATCCCAAAGCTAAATTTGTTAGTAATAGGGGCCGAAAAAAAAGGGCTAACAATTAAAAGCTGAAGTCAGTGAGATAAATATTGTGAATATAAAGTTCAGTGAATATTGAAGTCAGTGTTCAAAGTCAGACTTTGAACACAAAAAAACATTATTCACACCGCAGTTTTACATTAACAACTCTGCTGTATGAATATTACATGTATGCATCATCAAGGGCTAAAATTTTGCCTATATGTTTGCCTATATGATACTTTATGTATTCTATTATACCAAATTTCATGTAAATCTGAGATGGTAGGGTTGAGAGCTGTGATGATTTGGCATGGAATGATCCAAGAGTTAAACCACTCGTGTTGAAAAACATTGGAGCACAGCTTTGGGCCAACAAACATAAAAAGCAAAAAGAGCTTCTCATACAGCCAAAAGGTTAATGAAGAAGGGACAAGAAAACTAAATGCTATACAGTATACTAGATAGGAAAAAGATGAAAAATTTTAAGAATAAAAAAATAAAAATATTATGTGTACAAGTTTCCTTACTTACATTCTTCATCTGGAGTGGCAAGAGCAGAAACTGACGATGATCCACCATGAGCAGCAGCAGATGTTGGTGTTGTCTGCCGTACGGTCATAGCCGAAAAGACTCGACTGGGCTCAGTTGGCTCACCATTAGAGCCAAGCCCACCAATAGCATCAAACTCAAATCTGGGAGATATAGATGCAAGTCCTTGGTACCAGAGTCCGTGACCTTCAATCCACACTTTATTGTCATAGTTCATGGCATACATCGTACACAAGGCATGGGAGGTACTCCCTCTTCTACTTCTATTCCTCTTTCCTGCTTCTGGTGGTTTAGGGTGAAATGAAAATCATGCGAATATTTAACACTCGTTACATGTTGCATATAAACACCTACAACTGGAAATATCACAAAAATCAACTACAGTATTTTAAATCTAGTTATCTAGGTAATGAATGTAGTTTTGCTAATATAATTAAAAAAAAAATCTGCATTCAATGTAATTAAATGCCACTTTCTGGTAGGGCTTCAGTGGCTGCCTATCTTGCTGGGATGGCTTCCATCTACAGATTCATTAGTCAAAGCCCTCTCATCTAGATAGTTCAGGGAGCTACCAGAGGCTCATCTAGAAAACATTATTCTTCCAAATTCAAAGGTACTGTCAGTATCAAACATGATTTCCAGAACCTAAGAACAATGAACTGATTTTTTATTTCTTCTTACCAGTTGGGCCCCAGCTCCGGCACAGCCAGAGATAAACAAAATTTTTAGGATCATTCTCTGGCTCTTGCCAACTGAAGGAGTGTACTGGAGGCATACTTTCTTCATAAGGGCTTGCACAACTATGGAAAAATGAGAAAACTATTGAATGACATTATATATACAGTACTACAATTTAAAAAGCAATGTTAATATTTACCTAGATTTCCCCACAAACTTTCCCATACTAACTACAGTATATAAGCTAATTGCAGAATATAGACTTTGACTGCAACACTGCAATGTCACCATTTTGTACATGTCTGATTGCTCAACAGTTGGATTCTAGCAACAACAAGAGCAAAGCATTCAGGATCGTGGTGCACTGGTCAAGCAAGGTTCCACTGTGGGATGGCCCTTATCGACTGGCTTTATCAGTCTTGATTCAAGTTAATCATGAAAGTCAACTTCATTTACTTCAATGTAACGAGGGCACTAAAGGATTTCTCAGTAGGTACTCATCAACAACTCATAATTAGTGAATCATGGTTTAATGGAGTTAAAGACACCAAACTGTTGTCTTTAATTTATTTACCTAATGACTTGGTAAATAAAGCTCCAGTTACAATCTCAAAATCCATTGTTAGAACCAGCAAATTAGTAAATCAGAGGTCCTGAATTAAATTGAGTGGATACTGTAGTATGTTATATTTACCTTTTCCAGAGGTTTAAGTACATATATCACAAACAGCAGAATTCCATATACTGTACCATACCCTGTGAGACCCCACATGCCAAATCCCATCCATCTTCGACTTTCTTACACATTACAACCACTATTCTTTGTCAGATACTCTTTAATTCAGTCCAGTATCTTACCACAGCCTGCTTTTACAACTTTACAACTTGTGAATCGGTCTTCTGTAGACTGCCAAAACAATGTGTGTGCATCTGTGTTAGTGCCAGCCTGCAGTTGTGCATCCGGGTTCATCTCTATTCACTGCACAGCTAGCCAAGAGCTGACTGAACAGCCTTTTCCATACACTATCATGTTATTTCACTGCTGAGAAGCTGATATACCATATGCTGTACATGTAATATTCAGTGTAAGTAGGGTTAGCTAATTGTGGCATTTCACCTAAGTCCACTTACTGAATAAAGTAACATTACCATATATTAGTTTAAAGTGGAGTACTGCCGATTATTTACCTGAAATAAATTATGATTGTCGATTGTGTCACATTACCACCTACTGATACTACTTGTCTACTTTGCATGTTACATGCAATTATCATTTTCAGCATCGAGTTGCGATGGGGAACTCCAATACGTATTAAAATAATTGTAATGATTACTATCTGGAATTGTCAATGTAGACAAATATTCCTGTGATCCTAACTTTGTTTTACTAATATGATGAAGTACATATTGAAATTTACTTAGAAAAATCTATTTCATCATCAAAAGAACTTAGTTTTATATTATAATGCAACTTATGTACTTTTCTCTTTTATCTCCTCCACTCACATTAAATACACTCAAACTTTATTCTCACAAAATCACTAACAATCTAAAATGCTGAACAACACATACCTTTCACTCACACAATTTATCCTTTTTATTGCAGGCGATGAGTCACAATAACGCGGCTAAAGTATGATGACCAGACCACACACTAGAATGTGAAGTGACGACGACGTTTCGGTCCGTCCTGGACCATTCTCAAGTCGATTGTGAGAATGGACGACTTGAGAATGGTCCAGGACGGACCGAAACGTCGTCGTCCCTTCACATTCTAGTGTGGTCTGGTCATCCTTTTTATTTTCATCCTTAATTGACAATCATTCAATAGTCAAGTGACAGGTGATCCAGAGTGTGACAATAACCTTAACTTTTCTAGGCTATTTGTCAATTCCATAAAATGCTGCAGTTTTTATTTTAAAACAAAAATATAACTATATAGTGTTTTTTATAATTCACCCAATTTCTAAACTTACTCTATAGTGAGTGTTGACAAGTTGATAATCTGGAATGCTCCGAAGTTGTAACCAACAACAAGAGAAGCCAGTTGTGGTATGAATGTGAGAGCTGTGATGGATACAAGATGCCCAGATGTCTCAAATAGAACACTATCATCTGGACCAATTAGCTGGAACTGTCCACCATAAGTCATACTATCTGCAGAAAGCAATTGGATGCATTAGCAAGAACAATTAACAATCTTATTTTAGCATTAATCTCAGTCGTGAATATTATAGAATTTAAACAAAAAGAACACTGATGAAGATTAAATTTTACCCACAAAAATATAAATAAAGTTCCCAATAAACATGCCCTGCTAAATGCACATACACACACAACAGTACTTTGTTTACCCAATATGTCACTGCCCTTTTAACAATGGATCCTAGAACAAAAATTAAAAAGTTTCATAATAAGGAATTAAATTTGCTCTGTATCTTGTCAGGTATATTTGATAAGGTCGACAGTGAAAAATAGCTAAATTTTATACCTTTATTTTAGAAAAGACTTTGATACTGTCCCCTCATCAAATATTGAACGGAAAAACTCAAGGCATTGAGGGGGGGTTATCCAAAGTTGGATTAGCAAAGTTATTTAAAAAGAATCACTGAAATACCAGAGATCTGTCTTGGGACTTTTGTTAAACCACCCAATTCTAATCACACCAGAGCCTTCACAGTCTCTAAAAGCATACTGGAGGAAAAAGGCCAAAAGCTGTTTCCCCTTCCCCCCTCACTGATGCAAGCAGCAGAGGATGCAATATCACTAACCGAAGAAAAAGCCACCAGAAAGGTTAGATGAAACAGTATAGACAACACCAAAGTTAAAAAATTCTTCATAAAAAGAATAAGTAATAAGATAAAATGAAACACTTCAGAAAAAAGTGACCCAAAGGTCAAGCTGTTCTCCCTTTAGCATCAGATATCCATCACTAGGTGGCAGCATCACAAATTGCCAGCTCATGAAAGTCACCCAACCAGGCTTGAGCCGAAGAAAAAAAAAAAACAGCGTTGAATGTAATGAAACGCCATTTTCCAGGTGAGACCTGGAGGCTCACCGGAGCTAAACCGGGCCGATGTGTATATCTATGGCAACAGTCAATCGATGGAGTTCTAGACCTACCCGGGACCTGCACCGTAACCTGGCCCCCTAAGGAAAACATGAGGAGCAATGGCCTGAGACATCCCCTTGTACAGTATTTGGAAGCAGTCTATGTCTGACATCTACCAGGTCAGGCACCCAGAAGGTAGGAATTCCAAAACAAATTACAGCTGGTTAAAAATTGCAAACCGAAAGCCGAACTAGCCATCAGAACTCCCTAATCGAAAACAAGCAAACAAGCAAGACATCACCACAGCTGCCATACTGCTGTTTGCGCAACTCCTCTCCTCCCAGGAGGGGGAAGGGGTCCCAGACCTTCCGTGCCAGTTATTCAACCCCAGTTCAGAGGCTGAATATAAAAAACACAAAAAACGCCGACCGGAGAGAGGGAGGGATGCCAGGAAGACTCCGCTTCTCACCCAGAAAATGGCGTTTCATTAGATTCAAAACTTTTTTTCTGTGGAGAACCCCTTCGGCTCCCCGAGCTTCCTAACCAGAGATAAAGGAAAAGAGGGACTTACCCGGGAGGCCACCACTCACTCCTCAACTCTAAGTTGAAACAACTGGCTGCAACCTGCAACCCAAGGCTACACACACCCAAGAAGAGCCAGGAACATTAACGAGGTACCGTGCGGCCAGGACCCTGGTCGACTTCCAAAAGCCCTGTACCCGAATTGCCCGAATATCAGCCCAAGACATATTACCAAAAACAGCAGCCAAAGCCGCGATCTTACGAACGTTGTGGGCATAGGGATAGACCGCAGGTAGGCTAGACCGAATAATCCTGCTGACAACCTGGGAGACCCTCGCCTTGGAACAGGAAGAAAAACCGGGTCCACTCAAAGCACAATCCCTGCCACAGAGGCCGTGGTGTGCAAATAACGTTGGAAAGCTGTAAACGGACACAAAACACGATGGACTTCCAAGGACCCCTCTGGAAAGCAGCAGTCTCATTCTTCACCAGAAAAGGAGACGGCTGCAAACGAACAAAACGCCCACCAGGACCGAACGAGCAGAAATCCCTGTGACGGAGGAGAGCACGAAGCTCCCCGACCCAACTCCCGGAAGCCAATGCCACCAAGAAAAGAGCTTTACAAAAACAGTCCTAAACCAAAGAGGCTACCACAAACCGAGAAAATAAAATAAAAGAGTACCCGGTCCAAAATAATCCAAAACAAAAATTCAATGCTAAATAAAAAAAATTCATTTAATTTGAAATAGTTAAAGGAAAGGATGGACTAACCACTTAAACACATAGTAGGGTGGCAATTTTGCATGACTGAATTGATACGATTACGCTCTGCTTGTGGGTCAGGCGTTGCTACGCTGACCAAATTCCCCGGAGAAACTTCATCAGAGAGCACCTTGTGACCTGAAAGATTAAAAGAAGAATATCAATATCTTATCAAATAAAACTTTTTTGACTACAATTGAACTCAAAATAGCTTATGTTTTCTGTTCTTCAATATAATGCTACAAGATCAATATCAACTTTCATACACACAGAAATCACAATAGCATGATGCACCAAATGAACAAATCCACAACAGCCATGATGAGGGTTCGAACTTATATCCAAGAGGGACGTAGATTCGAATCCTCATCACAGTCCTTGTGGATTTGTTCAATATCAACTTTCCTTTAGTACTATACTCATGAACCAAACCTATCTCCAACTTTTATTAACTTTAACCCATACACTGCTCCAATCACTTAAGAGCAATTGGTTCATATGCTCCTACCACCTAGATACGATTTAAGGTGCTCCATTTTTCAAAAGCCCCACAAATTCTAGGACATCATTTGATACTACAGACCTGTCAATCGTTTTCCATATTTGGAAAAGGTCCCCCCGAGTCCCATAATTTTATTCCAAGGCCTTAGTAAAAAGATATGGACCATATCCGGCACATCACCATCCAGTGACTAAGCCCACAGGGCTGCCATTATAGAAACCACTGAACTTTTAATCCGATATCAGTGATATCCATGTATATATTTGTATGCAAAATATGTGCCATGTGCAATTTTTTGTATAAATAAATACAGAGCATGCACATGTTTATACATATATACCTATACATACATGTATTTCCAAAGTTATACATAACGAATACCATTATCATTACATCAATACAACAAATGAGCATGAATGAAGCGAGAAACGATAAAAATAAGTGGACTATGTTATTCTCGTGCAGCACCTCACCTCAAGCCACACAAATTCTCTGGGCTAAACCAGGAAAGCTAAACAGCTAAACCAGGAAAGGAAAATAAATTATACAAAGATTTTTTTATGCTTCATGGAAGTTAATTAACAATTAATTAAATCTCCAGTAGGCAATTCTCCAGTGAGCATTCTGCTTATCCATATGTCTGGCTTATCCAGCAGGAGGTCCTTCCCATATAATTTGGATAAGCGAAGCTCAAACAGTATTTCTTATACTTCCTGGGGAAATATTGAACAACCATGAACATCTGATGATTATAGTAGACTCCGTGTATGGCACCTCTACTCCTTACTGGCTCTATTCTACAATTCTTTCCATATCAATCACTCCAGTATGTTGTTACTTTAAGGTGTAAATTTGGGATTTGGCCCTCCAGTATTTTCCATGTACAGTATACAGTGGCACCTCGATTAACAAGTGGCTCTATCTATGAGCATTTCGAGTAACGAGCAAGCCACTCGCAGAGAATGTTTCTATTGACGAGCTTCGCCTCTATTAACGAGCAAAACCACATGGTGCTTCCTAGCATCTCGCTGGGTCTCGCAAATTCTCTGACGCCTCCGACACCATTGTTGTTGTATCACGCACGACAAGCATCCCTCTGCATTTATTTGTGCTTTTCTTTGTTGTTTTTTTGTGGTTTTGTGACTACAATTTGTGACGTACGATGTCGCCAAAGAAGCTGCTTGCTAAAGATAGTGTTGTCAAGAGGAAGAAAGAGACAATTACTGTGGATTTGACGAAGGAAATTAAAGCAAAGCATGAGCGTGGTGTCCGTGTGATGGATCTCACCGGGAAGTATGGCCAGTCCTCATCAACAATTTGCGCCATTAGTAAGGGGATGGGGAGATAAGGGAGGATGCTGCCTCTTCCAGTGAGATCAGGGAAGTGTTGGGAATGTTTAAAAAGGTGACTGCATTCTTGGAAAAGCATCACCCTGATAAAGCAGTGAAACCCAGTCTGTGAACATGTTTAATGACAATTTGCTATCTCGTTTTAGGGACATCCTAAAGCAAAGACAAAAGCAATTGTCAATAGACTCGTTCTTTGCAAAAGTAAAGACCAGCAAGTGATAGTGAACCACAACCCGGTCCCAGTGGGGTGAAATTCCCAAGAAGAGAGAGGCCGCCTGACTCAGAGGTGGATTCTCCTTCCACACCATAACCCCTCTCCTCCTTCCCACCTCCCCATCGTCTCCCTGAAGCCAGCAAAGACTCTTCATAAGGTAAAGTAAACATGAAAACAGTACAACAAAACATTTATAATTACATGTGCAGTATTATATTTACATTATAAAATGTCATACAAGTATGGATGTTTTTGGGAGTGGAACGGATTAAATTTATTTCCTTTATTTTAAATGGAGAAATTTGTTTAAGACGAGTTTTCCACATAACGAGCTCCGTGACAGAACGGATTAAACTCGTTAATCGAGGTGCCACTGTACTGTATATCATTTTATACCTCTCTCTCATCTCCTTTCTAGGGAGTACATTTTGAGAGCTTTGAGACAATCCCAATAACTTACGTGCTACGTACATCATGTCTATGCATGTCGTGTATATCGTCTGTGTTCCCCCTATTCACCAAACTCTTCTGTTCTGAAGGGGAAAGTAAGTATCGAGCAGTACTCACGGTGTGACAGCACCAGTGATTTGAATACTGTACTGTAGAACTGTATGAGCGATGGGCTCCCTGGATTTAAACGTTCTTGTAATCCATCCTACTATTTTTCTAGCTGATTAGAACAGTTTTAAAGTCTGCCACCAAGGAAGGAGGGGGTTTACATGATCCAAAACAATAGGGACTTCCCTTCCACAACAACACTCAGGTTTGAAATTTTAAGGCTGACATGTAAAGTTTTTCTAGATAACATACAGAACCAAAAATGTTGAAGGGAGAAAGTGAAAAATTACAAAATCATAAGGTATCTCTAATAAACATAAAACTAACCTCCTAGGTCCAAAGCAAGGTCAATGAGATGTAATGTGCCATATGATGTTCCAACCACTAAGAGCCCATGCCAGGAACGTAGCTCGGGTGCCAGAGTGCCAGAATCTACACTTACTTCTCCACCAGACACCATACATAAACTTGTTACCTGAAAAATTAAGTATTATATTGAACTTTAAACACGTTTCTCAAATTTTAAAGAAAATGCCATAACAATTCTTAATATTATTATTTATTAAATACCATATAGGAAATACTTTCACCACACATTAATATTACCTTGTGAGTGAAGTGAAACACCCGAGTAAGCCTCGAAGAAGAGAGAGACAGGAGTGCTGCCATTCCCTGAGGTTTATAGTCAACACCCAGATCAACACCAACCACAACTTGAGATATGGCACCAGGTCCAACTCCGCATACACTGGTTACCTGTTTAAGAGTCATCAAAAACTGCAGGTCATCAAATAAAAAATGCAATTATAAATTATATGTTTTTTAAAGAATTTAAGCTCATTCTGCATTAAGATGCAAATAGAATGACATAATTCAACGATAATTTTTTATATTGCTAACACAAATACAAAACGGTTACTAACTTACCCGAGTTCCAATATTGTGCAATATAGCTCCGAAAGTCCATGCAGCTTTTCGTGTGCCTGTATATGGTTCAACAATTTCCACTGTTGGCCCAATTGCTCTCCATGCAAGCTGGCCATCACCTATGAACCCTCCAAGTACAGGGAACTGACTAGCAATGTTACTCAAGTCTTTGGTTAAGTCCTCGGAGTTCAGTGGAGATTCTGTCTCATGGGCCAGTTGGGGCAGAGGGGTGTGCCGAACTGCACTCCCCACCTGCACTATACTTGCGCCCACCATTTCAACCTGAAATGTGGCATTAAAGAAGATTTAAAGTTTATGGACTATTTTCATGATTACTACTACAGTAGCCTATATGCAAACTAAACTCTGTGTTCCAAACCATAATGAAATCTGACCCCAAGTAGTAATTGGGTCAACCCACGTGTTGCGTTTCCACAATGGTCGCCCAATTTTAACGTTCAAAATTTCCCCATAGATATGAAGTCCCCTTGGAGCAGTGGTAAAACACTGGATTTTTGGATTTAATAAGTTATCAAGATGTTTTCAACAACATCCTTGGGGCATCCACCGATTTTAACTTGGGCGACTATTGTTGAAACACAACATGTGGGTTAACCCAATTGACAATCTGGTCAGATTCTAACAAGGACTAATAACACACTCGCCCCGCGCTTCGCAAGGGATTTGGCCTGGGTTCATATCCTGGCCAGGGAGGTTCTACTACGTGCCAATTCTCAACTGTAGGCCTCTGGTTGCCCAGCAGTAAATGGATACCTGGTCGTTAAACTATTTGGCGGGTCATATGCCAAGGAAAATGCCGATTAAAGACCTGCCCAAAACGCTATGCGTGCTAATGGCTGTACAAGAACGAAAGAACTCTTGCATATATAAATAAATTATTGTAGCACATGCTTAGACAAGTAAAGATCTTCACTGAACGTGTTTATTTTTTTTCACTGAAAGTATTTAGTTTTTAAATACAATTCACTATAATATTCTCCATCTTCAATACGCTAAAATAAACCAGGTAATCGAGCACGAACTAGGCACATCTGTAAGACAATACTCCATACTAACAATCACTATAGGCCTTGAAGTAACAAAAAACTATGAGCAAGAACATGAATAATAATGACCAGCAAATTGCCATAGTCACCAAGTAGAATACTTCACAGCTTTGACTTGCAAATGGTTCATCCCGGCACAAACTGAGATATAGTTAAAATTTAAAATGAGATTATCACATAGCTCATTTTCTATATTTTTGAAAGATTTGGAATTGTGCTCGCAATGGAAGGAAACATGCCGGATCCCCAGGACGTTATATCACTGCCACTCGCAAACAAAATCACTCACGGTTTCTACAGTCTTGACTGTTAGCCTAGCGAAGGAGTATCCCTAAAAATTCCTGTTAGATTTCAAACACGACTCTGGCCCAACTGGAGGATGGTCTGTGGCTCCCGCCTGTGTATGCCTCCTACCCCTCACTCCAGCCTTCCCTCCCACTATATACACTCTCTCAACTTACTGGTGGTTATTTCCCTAATATAAATAATGAGCATAGAGTGTGCGAGGGGTGAGAGGCTGTGGTAGCTCGGATGGCTGTCATATCACGCGGAATAACACACGGCCATGATGAACTAAACACAACTAGCCAATCACAGACCAGCTACCAGCGCCATCTTGGATTGTTCCAGTGTTCGGTTGGCTGCCTCAGGTGGTCACGGCCTCGGCTACAGCACCTCACGCATGTCGCAAAACTCCTATGCAGTGAACACTATAATCATTTATATTAATAACGGCCTAATTGACTGCTACGTTTCGGTTCGTCCTTGTACAAGTTAAGAAAAGACTGAAACGTTGCTTATAGTCACATTTATAATGTGATTTAATATATATTTGTTCCAGCCATATATACTATATGCAACCTATACCTATATGTCACTATACTCGACATTTTTATATACTGATGTCACAAATTTCAATTTCTTTCTTTATTATGTACCCCATACCCATCCCGTGGGCGGTGGTGTAAAGGATTACAGAGGCACATAATCGGTTCAGGAACTGAACCCTCTAGTTCGTTTAGCTAAGGAAATAACGATTTTTGACGCTAGTTACAAAATTATTAATGATATATATACATGTACACATTCTCATACATACATGTACATATATATATATATATATATATATATATATATATATATATATATATATATATATATATATATATATATATGTCGTACCTAGTAGCCAGAACTCACTTCTCAGCCTACTATGCAAGGCCCGATTTGCCTAATAAGCCTAGTTTTCATGAATTAATGTTTTTTCGACTACCTAACCTACCTAACCTAACCTAACGTTTTCGGCTACCTAACCTAACCTAACCTATAAAGATAGGTTAGGTTAGGTTAGGTAGGGTTGGTTAGGTTCGGTCATATATCTGCGTTAATTTTAACTCCAATAAAAAAAAATTGACCTCATACATAATGAAATGGGTAGCTTTATCATTTCATAAGAAAAAATTTAGAGAAAACATATTAATTTAGTAAAACTTGGCTTATTAGGCAAATCGGGCCTTGCATTGTAGGCTGAGAAGTGAGTTCTGGCTATTAGGTACGACATATATATATATATATATATATATATATACGTATTCACATTATACATATATACTTAATCACCCCCACACAAGTACATCTGATGTTACAAATGCAAACAAAATTGTTTCAATATACTGATAAAAGTTAATTATAATTAGTATATACATGCGTGGATTTTTTAATAAAACAGCTCTCTGTACGTATGTACTCACCTAGTTTTGCTTGCGGAGGTTAAGCTTCGGCTCTTTGGTCCCTCCTCTCAACCGTCAACCAACTGATGTACACGTTCCTGAGCCTACTGGGCTCTATCATATCTACATTTTAAACTGTGTATGGAGTCTACCTCCACCACATCACTACATAATGCATTCCATTTGTTAACTATTATTCTTTCTAATGCCTGTGGCTCATTTGGGTACTAAGTTTCCACCTGTGTCCCCGTGTTTGTGTTCCACCCATGCTAAATAGTTTGGCATGGTCGGGGTATTGTAAGATAAATGCTATAAGAAATATAGCCTGTATCCCAAACAACCCAAGCTATTTTCGTGAAATCGGACATGGAATCGGACATTTATTTTCCGTAGATTTTCCACCTCTATAGGTGTTAAATTTTGTCATTTTATTTTTGTCAGGCTATTTGTCACAGGTTGTCGATGTGTCTCTACAGGTAGCTACTTGTCTACTACTAGAGTGGTACATTCAATTACCGAACTAGTGGGCAAATATATATATATTTATATGGTGGGAGGAAGTGATGTTGGTCGAGTCAGGAGTGAGGAACTGATTCAGAGGTATAAAACAGCCATAGAGTTAGTTAGGAGCAAGGGAGGAATCCCGATCATATGTGGCATTCTTCCAAGAAAGGGAGTGGGAAATGAATGGATATCGAGGGCACTTGGTGTCAATTGCCGGCTGGAAAGATATTGCAAATCAAATGCAATATCTTTCATAGACAACTGGGAACACTTCTATGGAAGAAATGAAATGTATGCTCGTGATGGGGTGCATCTATCGAGAGCTGGGGTTGTTGCTGTTGCGAACTCGCTAGAAGAAGTGGTTAGAGGTGTTTGTTTGGGTTTAAACTGTTAGTAGATAGAGGTATGGGAATTGATTTGGAGGAAGGAGGTAATAAAAGTATGTGTTTGTGGGAGAAAGGAATTGGCAAAACGATCAGGGAAAGAGAAGGTCCGCAAAATAACAATTCACTTAGGGTATATTACACTAACAGTAGAAGTCTAAGAAATAAAATTAACGAATTAAATGCTCTTGTCTGCACAGAAAAAATAGATATTATTGCACTTACCGAAACGTGGATGAATGTAGAAAATAGAGAACTATTAGCTGAATATCAAATATATGGATTTAAACTATTTCACACAGATAGATATATTAGACGAGGAGGTGGAGTAGCTATATATGTTAGGGACAATTTGAAATGTAGTCTCAAAGAGGGAATCAAAACAGAGCCACACACAGAAACTATTTGGATTGAATTAAACGAAAAAGCTAATAATATTATAATAGGAGTAATATATAGGCCACCAAATTTAGACAGAATGGAAGCAAAGCATCTATGGGATGAAATATCTAGAGCATCTAGATCTAACAGTATTTATGTCATGGGTGACTTTAATTTTAGCGGAATAAACTGGTTGAACAAAACAGGGAATAGTGAAGCAGAAGATTTTCTAGAATTAATTGACGATTGCTTTCTTACGCAACACATTAAGGAACCAACACGGGAAAATAATATTTTAGATTTAGTGATAACTAACAGGGAAACGCAAATTAATGACATCGAAATAGGGAGTGAGCTAGGGAGCAGTGATCACAAAGAAATCAGATTTAGCATAGAATGGAATAGACCAGTAGGAGAAAATTCTGTTAAAGTGCCAGATTTTCGAAAAGCTGATTTTAATAGCCTAAGAAATTTTTTGGGTCAAATTGATTGGAAAGGCTTGGGTATGGGGTGTGGGCCGGTCTTGGAGCGAGACATGAACCCAGCGATAGGTGACTTAAATGGGGATTTCGATGTGGATTCAATATATAACTTATTTAAGAATATTCTAAACAAAGCACAGGAACGTAGTATACCATACAAATTGAATAGATCGTATACTAATGACCCAAAGTGGATAACAAAGAATTTGAAGAACCTTATAGGTAAAAAGAGAGCTTGGTACAAAAGGATTAAAAATGGGGAGGTCACTTTAGAACAGGAATTCGTACAACTGGTTAGAAATGTTAAAAAAGAGATAAGGAAAGCAAAAAGAAACTATGAAGTTCGCATAGCAGGGCAAGCAAAGACAAATCCTAAAGGGTTTTTTCAGTTATATCGTACTAAGACTAGGGAAAGGATAGGTCCATTAAAAACTGAGACAGGTCAAATAACAGATAGTGATGAAGAGATGAGTAGTATTTTTAATAAATATTTTGTATCTGTATTTACTAAAGAGGAACTTAACAATATGCCTTCAGCCGAACAAGTCTATGTGGGTGGGGACGAGGACAGGTTGACGAGTTTAGCAGTTACCAGGGAGGATGTTCTTAAACAAATAGTAAAACTCAAACCAAACAAATCCCCAGGGCCGGATGAAGTGTTTGCTAGGGTGCTTAAAGAATGCAAAGAGGAGCTTTGTGACCCACTGTCAACCATATTTAATAAATCAATAGAGTCAGGCAGAGTGCCAGAGTTTTGGAAAGTTGCTAATGTGATACCAGTTTTTAAGAAAGGAGATAGATCACTTGCGTCTAACTATCGACCAATTAGCCTAACGTCTATTGTGGGAAAGTTACTCGAATCTATAATAGCAAATAAAATTCGTCTTCATCTTGAAAAACATAAATTAATAATTGAGTCGCAACATGGTTTTATAAATGGCCGTTCATGTTTAACAAATTTGTTATCTTTTTATTCTAGCATTGTTGAGGCAGTTGATAGTGGTAAGGATTGCGATGTTGTATACCTTGACTTTAGCAAAGCTTTTGATACAGTGCCACATGAAAGACTGATTAAAAAATAGAGTCTCATGGTATTGGGGGTGCTATATTAAGCTGGATTAGGGCATGGCTATACCAAAGGAAACAGAGAGTTAGTATAAATGGAATCAAGTCAGAGTGGGAAAATGTTGTAAGTGGAGTGCCTCAAGGCTCTGTCCTGGGACCTCTGTTGTTTATAATATATATAAATGATTTAGATTCAGGTTTGAGTAGCAACATTTGCAAATTTGCCGATGATACGAAAATCGGTAGGGAAATTAATTCGGAGGAGGACTCACTATCACTTCAAGTTGATCTAGATAGGGTTTTGAAATGGTCAAAGGATTGGCAGATGCAGTTTAATGCTGATAAATGTAAAGTTCTGAGGTTAGGTAATGATGATAGAGTTACAAGATACGAGCTAGATGGTGTTGTGATTGCGAAGTCGGATTGCGAAAGGGATCTGGGAGTTATGATTAGTAAGAATTTAAAACATAAGGATCAATGCATAAATGTTCGTAATAAGGCAAATCGGACACTTGGATTTATTAATCGCAGCGTTAGTAACAAGACACCTGGTGTGGTTCTCAAGCTATATCTTGCTCTAGTTAGGCCCCATTTAGATTATGCAGTTCAGTTTTGGTCGCCATATTATAGAATGGATATAAATTCACTTGAACGTGTCCAGCGTAGGATGACTAAGTTAATTCCCCAAATTAGAAATCTTTCATATGAAGAAAGATTAACAAAGCTTAAGTTGCATTCACTGGAAAGGCGAAGAGTTAGGGGTGACATGATAGAGGTTTACAAGTGGATGAATGGACATAACCGGGGGGATATTAATAGGGTATTAAAAGTATCAACACAGGACAGAACACGAAACAATGGATATAAATTGGATAAGTTTAGATTTAGGAAAGACTTGGGTAAATACTGGTTCAGTAACAGGGTTGTTGATTTGTGGAACCAATTGCCGCGTAACATTGTGGAGGTGGGGTCCCTCGATTGTTTCAAGCACGGGTTGGACAAGTATATGAGTGGGATTGGGTGGTTATAGAATAGGAGCTGCCTCGTATGGGCCAATAGGCCTTCTGC